CAAAGCGCCGTGGCCACTTCGTGCCAGCAGGTTTTCTGGCCATTTCTGATGCGAAATTTCGTATCATATTAAGCGTAGGAGGTAGCCCACGAGAGCTAAGTGTCTGAATATATTGTACAAGGGTTTTTTCCTGGGCGTTGTCGAGTAATCGCTGATTTTCAAACCGGGTTGCCATTGAGCCAGTAATCCCTCGTGCGCGCCGCGACAGAGTTGAGCGATTAACGCCAAATTTTTTGGCAATTTGCGCATAATTAACATCTTCTGGAGAGTCTAGGGATTTGATAGCTGCAAGAGCTGCTTCAATAGCTGCCATATTGGTAGAGATATCGTGTGTTGAAGATTTTGTGATTTTGGTGGAGAGCGTGCATTTGGTGGGAACGTGCACTTGCTGACCTAATACGTTAATCTAATCTAATCAGGCCAACGACCAGCACATGCATATGCATATGAAGCCTCCGTCCAATGTTTTGATTTCGCAATCCACGCGTGCAAACCCACTAAAGTAGAATTGCACTGGATCATAGTATTCCGGTCGACACCATGACGGCCCCAAAAAAGAATCGAGTCGGCTCGCCGCATGAAAAAAGAAGAACACCGTGTAATCAATACATCACATTCACATGATAGCTTGTTACTACTCCTCGCATCTTGCATGCTACTCCTCGCGTCATACACATATGACAGCAATGTCGTAAAAGGGGAAGAACTAGCCGAAATGTCTCCTTTAGTGAAAGGAAAACGCTTTGCGGACCGAATTGGAACGAACGGGTGCGCAATCTTTGGGTCAGCCTGCGCCGTAAATCGCACGTGGGGGAGAAAGTCCTGTCCACGAGTGCAATACAAAAACCCCGGCCCCCTCACCCTGCAACCCCTCAAGTGTTCTTTTCAGGTTCATCAACGAGGGGACGGGGTAGTTACCAAGTGGTCAACCCACGACTTACCTCTCAGAGTGTAAACACTCGTCATCGGAGTCTAGGGATCACGGGGGGCCCATTCCTACCTTTCAATGTACTTGATCACATCTTTCCAGAACCCCGATACCCCTTACGTCCATCGATGATACTGTGTAGAGTCGATGTTGTAGCGTGGGTGCTGTGGGACGCTGAGGGAGAGTGCGGGTCTTTGAAAGCCGTAGGGTGGCGGTTCCGCGGTAACTGTTGGACTGGTGATGATATCGAGCTTGCGGCTGCGACGCCAGATTCTCATCGTCTGGACGGAAGTCTCGGGCGGGAGGGTATGGCGGCGGTCGATAAGTCGAGCTGAAGTCCAAGCTGCGGGAAGATGCATATGAGGATTGGAATGAACACGTGGGAAGAGCTGGCAATCCATGAGGAAGTGTTGGATGAAGGGAAGTGCGATGAAGGGAGGTGGGATCAGGAAGAGATGGATGAAGAAGAGATGGATGGAGAAGAGAAGGATGAAGAAGAGTGGGATGAAGAAGAGTGGGATGAAGAAGAGTGTGATGAAGGAGAGTTGGAGATGAACGACTGAAGACGGGCTACTTATTTTGTGTGCTTTGCACCTGCACTCTATGCGCAACTTCGCACTTACGGCACACGGTGAGAGCCTGGCAAAGTACCGACAGCAATGCTACAAAGCGGCAAGTACTTCATGTCGCACTTCTACACTTCAATGGTTTTAGTATTTTATTCGAACGTCGTACAGACTCCTTTTGCCTTCCTCACACTTACGCCTTCCTTCCGCCGTGCCACCAGGACCTGCCCACGGCTCTTGTATGTCTATGATATTAGGTAACTTTCACTCGGCCAGTCAACTATCGAGGGAGGGAGCACCGACCTAGGCTCTTAGTTAAACCTTGGGCGAAGGCAGAGGGAGACGAAGGCAGAGGGAGACCAAGGGAGAGGTTAAGGAAGCGCAGAGCGTGCCATCGATTGTCCGATGAATATGTCGTGGCTGGAGCGACAGTTGACGTTGGTTCCATCGCCAGCAGAAACAGAGAGTCGAAGCTAAACACTCGACAGAGACCGGAGATATAATCAACACCTAGCCTACTATCTCATATCCGCCCTTATCGTACATGCCCCGCGAGCAAGTTTGGATAGCAACCTAGCACACAATGGCCCGGCATTATCTGCAGTGTTTCCATTCGTCCCTTCCAGGTTCCAGCAATGCTTGGCCCGAAGAGGGATATCTCACGCGCAGCCTCAAAGGGCTGCTCCTTAAAGGGCTGCTCCTCAAAGGGCTGCTCCGCTTTCGGATCCGAGTGACCGTTACTGCCATCCACCTCTTCAGTTGATTTGAGAGGCCACAGAGTGATGTTCTCTTCGGCCTGCGCTACTAGCTCACTAGTAGCATCTACGTCGCACGTCCCAAGCTCTGAATTAACCATTTCACCATCGGCAGGTTCAACGGTTACCGTCAGCTCATCTTCACCCTCGACTAGGACCTCGTTTACGCCCCGTCAATGGCACCTTTTTTGGCCTTGTTCCTTTTCTTCTTTTTTTTGCAGATAAAGCCCACTGCCATAGATCGCCCTCCTTAGCTGCGAATTTGGGCTCTAGCGTATGCTTACGCACGGTTTCTAGTTCTACGTCTACGACGATGAGATATTCACTGGTAGAAACCTTTTGAACAAGTCCTCGTGTGGGACACTCCAGTGCAGGGTGCAGGATCGCCAGCAGGATAGTCTTCTGCAAGACAAGAATCTTCTTTCGAGATTGCTTCGTCAGTAAATGACTCTTCTACCAGTTCATTAACAGGTAGATCAAGAAACTTCAAGCCTGCACTCTTAAGAAGTCTTTACAGCAGGCGCACTCTCCGCGCTGAGCATGCGCTCGAACTTGTCGCTGTAGAGCCCTACCAAACCCTTCGCCAGCGCTCTAGCCAGACCGACATCGTTAACGCAGCTGAAAAAGTCGTTTCCCGCAAATACCGTGCAATACTCTTCCTCTTAAACCTCGAACTTACAGTTTAACTTCTGGATAAGTGCTTGTAGCACCCCTGTCTACTTACGTAATCAACATTTGAACCACCTCTCACCAGTCTCTCCAGCTTTCCCCACATCCCAATTGCAGCCAATTGCAAACCAAAGCACCGCACAACTTGCGTCTCCAAATAACACCATAATCCAGTCTCCCTCACCGACAATCCCAACTCCCAGCCAAGATGGAAGAAGAACAACCCCCCGACCTCGCCGCCACAATGGGCTTCACCTCCTTCGGCAGCGCGAGCACCGCCAAGAAACGTCGACACTCGCAGACGAACAACAGCCCGCCAACCTCCAATTCCACCGGCGCGAATTCCCTGCGCCTAGGCGTAAGACCAAAACTCACCGAGGAAAGAAAAGAAAGAGGAGAACAAGAAGAAGAAACCAACGTGATCCAAACCACCGAAACCGATCACCCCAAAGGAAACGGAAAAGCAATCGCAAAAGCGAAAAACATCCCAGCGACATCCCTAGCAGAATTCCTCTCCCGCGGCCAGGCATTACCAGATAAACCGGCTACTCCATCGCATTCCTTCCCATCTACGACATCATCCGCCATTCAATCCCAGCAACCCCATCATCCTAACCCTCACCAATCCACCACAACCCCCTCGTCAACAGAAACAATCTCCTTCGGCGGTCACGCACTCACCAGAGCCGACCTCGACGCCTTGCGCCAAGGCGTCCGTGATGAAAAGGGGGACGTGGCGTTTTTCCTGCCGAGTTTCGTCGAGGAGAATCCGTGGGCGGGGTTGAATGGTAAGGCCCAGGTTCAGGGTCAGACCCAGGTTGCTGCTGGGTGGGGAAGGGGTTGAGGTGGGGAGTGAGAGGAACCGGCAGGTTTCTTTTTTCCTTTGTGACAGAGGGAGAATGAGGAGAGGAGCCGCAACTCTATGATTATTTGACTTCGACGATTGAGCTCACGAGCCATGCCCGCCATGGAGGCTGATCCGAGGGTGACGACTTCCCTTCCCATTGAAGCCGCCATCCATTTACTACCCCGACCCAGTTCATGAAAAGGGAGGTTGAATTGCTGAACCAGCCGAACTACTCCAGTGGTCACTTAAATCACTGTAGAAAAGTCGGGGAATTGATGCGCATAAAGATGGTCGGAATATACATGGATACGAATAAGTGGTCACATGATCATATCTAACTACCGCCTTGTGACAAGGGAGAAACCCGCGCAGGTGGGCCATGGAGGACAAAGGACTTAGAGAGGAGCAAGCAGGGTGATGATACCAGACAAAAGCTTGATTACCTATCCCCACTGCCCGATGAAACCAGTATCAAAAGCGTCAAATGTTCATTTCATTCATTACAAGCACAGTAGGCCGTTAACTACCGTAACCATGCCCAAAAAGAGGACAACGCCGCCCAGCCACGCCGTACAAGCTTGCCGCTCCAGAAACAAGAGGCCTCGTGATATCCATCCCTAGTACACTCCACGACAGAGGAGCCGGAAGTCCACGTAGAGCTCCCCGTAAACCCAACGCAACCCCCCGGGAGCGTGGCTTCTTCACCCCTCCTCCCATTCGCTCGCCCACATCCTCATTCTAGCAAATGAGGTTACGTCCCAAAATGTTTAGTAGTCTGCATGAAGCCGCTTTCGACCTCTGGGACCGTCCCCGAGCCCATCCGCTCACTGTCACGTACATAAGCGAGTACCTGCAGCGGGAGTACCCGCGCTCGCCCTGTCCCGCGCCTAAGGAAAGGAGAAAAAGCAAGATAGCGTGCCCAGGAAGCGCTGAAGCGCTAAAGCGGCGAGAGACGAAGGAAGGGGGAAGCCAACCGGCGGAAAGGAACCGGGGCAGTGGTTTCTGGAAATCTCCAGAGATATGGATCTGCAAATCGAAACCAAAAACTAGAAAAATGGAAGGTAATAATTCAGGAACAGGAGGAGGACAAGGGTACCGCCAAGACTTTTAGAGAAGGCAGCCAAGGCCGTCTGTAGGAGAGAACATAGCCATCGATACTGCCGATATCTCGGCCGCCATGACCTAGTAGTCGACGGGAGCCGGATACTTCTGCTGAGCAGCTCTGTACTGCTCCGGATACTTGCGTGCGGCTCGCTCGTTGAGGGCGCTGCCAAACTGTCAGATCTGCTCCTTTGGGCGACGAGTTCAGGAGCACTTACTTGACACGTTTTTGCGTCCATTGCAAATCTTTCTGTAACTCTTTGGCTGCCCTCATGCCGTCTGCGAAGTCCAAGCGTGCTCCCGCCAACCTGCGCTGAGCAAGCGCTTGCAATTCGAGCAGTTCACGATGCTTGGCATTCAGTTCGCCAGATCTAGATTTTGGTCAGTCACTGTAATCGTGAGTAGACGTCAAGAATCAATACATACGTTTGGGCCTGCTTCACAAGACTGCGATCGAGCGGAGTAGGATCAAATGCACCATTGAGACGACTGCCCATATAGTCCATCAGGTCGACTCCAGCAGCCGAAGCGCTCGACTCGTACTCGCTAGAGCTTCCAGCATAGCTGCTCGAAGTGGCAGAAGGCTCATACGAAGTAATGCCGGACGTTGTCACACTGTCGGCAGCTTCGGGTGGGGATACTGACACGCGGCCATAGCCTTGGTGAGCAGCCCCTGGGTTGTAGTAGCCGGGCTTTTGTGGCATATTGATAGGGAGTGATCCCGCCGGGTATGATGGGTAATAGGCATGCGTTGTAGACATGATGATTCTGATGATCGGGGTGACAAGCGAAAACAGTGGATGACTTATATAGTGACGGGTAGGATGAGTGATAATTGGACTCGGTTAAGTGTAGACAGTAGAGGAGACTTGTGATATGTAGAGACACGGTAGTGACCAAAGTAAATAGGATTTTGAATCTTCGCCGAGAGAATGTTTTGGAGGAAAAGAGAAGACAGAAAGAAACAGATCAAAGCTGCAAAAAGACGGCCTTTTATACGTTTCCATGGACAGGGTGGAGATGCATGTCAACGGGGGATGGCTTCAACCCCCATCTTCCCACTTCCACTCCTCCATATGCAGCCCCGCTTACGCGGTGATGAAAACGCATAGTCAGTCATATGCCGATTCAACCCTTTCCCCCGCCTCTCCGGGTCCAGGCATTGCAAGCAGAGGGGACAAGAGTGATAGCACCCTAGACAATACGCGGCAAACGATCACTATACCCTGGTGGGAAATGGGCTCCGGACCAGCCAATTGGATGACGATACCATAGGAGCTGGGTCAATTGATTCTCGGACCAGCAGCAATGGACACCCGGACAAGATTCCTGTGCCCTGTTGGAGGAAGGGAAGGCATGTTCAGACGAGTACGATTGACAAAAAGGATGGCAGCACGACGGCCAGGGGATAAGGCAGCAGCACAGGATAAGCGCAGCAGACGCGAACCAGAGGAAGCCGGTAAAAGCAGCAGCGGCGGATGCTGTAGGTGCATGGGTAGTCTGCCTGACGGGCATGCTAAGTGTTGTCAAAGTTGATGCGTTGGCTCGACAGCACGCCAGCGCCTTCAAGCATGCAATCTGTCGGAGCCGAGAGGGGCATAGGAAGAACCGGGTTCTGGGCGCTGCCAACCGGAACAGAGTGGCAATCAATTCCGGTGACACCTTAAATTATACTGAAAGGCCAGATTCTGCTGGGGCGACGGCGTCGTGCGGTCAACTGGAAGAGTCGTGAGTTGTGGTGGTGCACGAATTTTGGTCGTCAACCTTGGGAGAAGGATGCGGGGCACGGGCCGCCGGCGGCCAGGGGAGAGGGGAGAGCAGTGAGCCCCGCCATGCGTCATCAGGGGCAGAGATTGGCTGCGGAAGCGAGACAGCAGGGGTGATTGCTTGGCTTCTGATGCCCTACAGTTCCAATGGCGTCCTTCGTCCTTCACTCCGTAGCACTAACTGCCGTACCACCCCTCAAGCCCGTATCCAATGTAAACATCAAAGGCCAGCGTCTGCTGACGAGGCTAGCACCAGCAACACGGAAACACCCAGGAATCGCGCTCAGTGGCGGTGAGAAGGCCGGTCCAGCCCCATGTGACCCTCCAAACAGTTCCCATCAATGGCCAAAGCCGGGACGCCGTCCTACTACTGGAGTACTCCCTCCGCATCATCCGTATGAGGCCGGGGCGTGTTCGCATACGGTATCCGCAACCTTGTTTCCTCCTGTGCAAAGGAACGCCGATTTACTCCCGGAAAGCCACCAGGGCGGTGTCAAGCGTAGTTGTATCGGATATGCTAGAAGTCGGGAGGGCTCTCAGCGCATTCGCTTCATGGTGGCACGTCGACAGCTGGCAGCCACGTGTGGAGGATACCTGTAGGATAATTCCGTAGCACAGCCTAGCCGTCAGCCATGAGCCCAACACAATGGGAAGCCCACCGCCACAAACCGTTCATGAACCCATTTCCATTGTATTGCTCCTTAGCCTATTAGTGCACTACCGTTTGCTGGAAGGATGGATGCAAGCTGCATAGCTCGTACTGGAGCGTAACACCGACGCCCCTCAAGTCTATTGCTAGTCTACTTCCCATGATCCAACGAAATACCGGGGTTCCCCATATCGTATTCTATCAGACCGGGTTCCTGTGCGCTGCAATATGCCGCGACATGATCCTGGCGAATCGTCCCGGGAGGTCCTGATCTTGTTTTGCAGTATTGATGCCTGTCAGAATCTGCTTGATACCGACCCCTATTTCTGCACTTCCCGTAATCTCCTGAATTTCTCCAATTGCACGCTGCAAGTCCTGGTCCGAGAAAGCGCCAGATTCTCGTAATACATGCGCAAGTTCGGCCTGTGTGTTTACGTTTGGCACTGCGATTTCAGCGTCGAACCGGTTGAAGAGATCCAACTGTGTGAGCACTGTTCGCTCCGTAGTGGTAGCAAAGACCAACAACCGACGTCCCTGCGTCCAGTTAGCCAGAATTCGACATAGTTTTAGGACCAGGGATCCAACTCACCTTGGGTGGTGGCTTCTCGAGAAGCACTCTTAGTGCCACCAGGACGCTGGTGCTGAAACGCGGCCCAATGGGCACAAAATCAACCAACATCTCGATGTTGTCGATCACGATCACACTAAGAGGGCTCTTGTATGCGTCTCGGAACGTCTTGTCAAGCTGCTGCACCTTCTGCATGTCGCTGAACCCGACCATGTCCTCGGGTGACACCAGTTTGATGAACGGGAACCCCGAGTCCATGGCCATCTTCGCCGCAAGCGCTGTTTTCCCGCTTCCCGGCGGTCCATGCAAAGCAACAGACAAGATAGGTGTCGAGTCATCTGGCTTCCTGACTTGATTGATATACAGCCTTCCTTCTTCTAGAATGTCATCAATATAGCTCGAGAAGTGGGTAATTCCCCCACGGATGCGCATGCCCAGTTCTTCTTCCGCCACACCAAATAGAGGTTTGACCTCCTCGAGCGCATTCAGGAAGTCCTGTCTGTTCACCTTCATGTTTTCAACATCAGGGTTGATGGCAGCCATCGTGCCAACCTTGATGTGGCGACTGAAGGCAAATGAAGACGCAGCCTTGACGAGACCGCTAATCTCTGCACCGGAGAAGTTCTTGGTGAGCTTGGCCAGTTCCTCAAGGCTGACATCGTTGTCCAAGACATTATTGGCCCGCATCTTCGCCGTGTGAATCTTCAGAATCTGTGCGCGACCATGTTCGTCGGGAAGGGAAATTTCCATGTGAACCTCTAGACGTCCAGCGCGTAGAAGGGCCTCATCGATCATGTCCATGCGATTGGTCATACCGATCAGGAGGATATTGTTAAGCTGGTCGACACCATCCAGTTTTGAGAGCAGTTGATTCACAACGCTGTCTCCAACGCCGGTACCGCCACCGCTGGTACCTCTCTGTTTGCACACAGCATCCAGCTCATCGAAAATGATAATGTGAAGACCACTCTCATCTCCCTTCTCTTTATACTCCTTCTCCGCATCGGCGAACAGCTTACGAATGTTCTCTTCGGACTGGCCCACGTATTTGTTCAATACCTCGGGTCCATTGATAACCTTTGGCTCCCTGGCGTTGAGCATCTTGCCAATCTGACGGGCAATCAGGGTTTTGCCTGTTCCTGGAGGGCCGTATAGAAGGATACCCCTAACGTGCTGGATACCCAGCTTCTCCACCAAGCCAGGGGGAAAGATGCGCGATGCGAAGGCTCTCCGGAAAATGGCACTGAACTCCGTATCCAAACCGCCAATACCCATATCTTCAAATTTGAAACCAGGTTGCACAATCGAATTAGCTGCAGGTCTTCTACTGGAAGCCTTTATCTTTATGTCTGTACGAGCATCTTTGAAGAAGTCGATTTGCGTCTCCGACGTCAAAATTCCCCGTTCGCTGGGATTCGTCGTGGGGTGGGTGGAGTTGGGATCCGGCTTCTCGCCCAAGTTTACCAATTGCACGGTTCTTATCGACAATCTCAGGACAATGTTCTTCACGTCCATAAGCAGCTGTTGACCGGGAGCAAGGATCTGGTTCTGGAAGTTCTACTGGGGTCAGTATTATGGCAGAAACAGAATGCTTGGTTTTGTACCTTCTTGAACTGAGAGGCAAGTTCATCCTGATCGTATGGAGTCTCCGTGGTCTTCCTTGTTGCGAATCCAACTTCCACCTCCATAGATCCCAAGTAGACACCCCCACCTTGACGGAAGAGGTCGTATTGCTCAACGGTGACTACATCCTGTGGACCTAGAGATATGCCTGCCCAATTCCGTTGTGCATCCGTGAGTCCAATCTCGCCCGGCTGGCATCCCTGCGTCGGCCGCGCCGACAAAACGAAGTTGCCATTGATGAGAATCGTGATATCGGAGCCGTCACGGGTCGGTGGGAAATCGTGCGGAGAAACAGCGGCACTGCGAACATGTCAATAGAGTACTTTCTGTATGCCTGAACGACCCTACATATTTCCAAACGCATATGCATTGCCACCAGGGCTCTTGATCGGTCGAAGCTGCATTGCAGGGCCTCCTCTACTCGGAACCGCCACTCTAGCGGGCATTCCTTGACCGCTCGGTCTGGAGCCATATCCAGGTGGAGGTTGCTCTTCGTACCCTCCCATCCTTGTGTCATAGCCTGGATGTCGTTGCGGTGGTGGCTGCTGTTGTGGCGGGGGTCTCCCATATCCATCGGGGCGTTGTGGTGGCCTGGGGGAAGAGCCTGGGAGCCCAGGAAGGCGGTCGCGGTTGAACATGTCTGCGGACAGATCGCTGTCGCCGTACACTTAAATAGAGAAGGCAGGAGGACAGGCAACGGTATACGTCGACGTGAGGCACGAGGAGCGGGGTGAAAGTCGAGGATCAAATGAGTGGAGGAACCCTAGGTCTGGCGAAGTCCAACTCCAAATAGCAGGCTGGATATAAGATTTGTTAACTAAACGACTGTGGCAAGACAGAGGCAAGGTGCTTTATGTTTCAGAGCTGTTCCGAATGTGAGTGAGCTCCAGATGTCAATTAGGAGCACGGACCATCTGGTGAAGGCCGGCCAGGGACCGGCCAGGGGTGAACCAATCCCCGCAAATGGGGCATGCTCTAACTTCGACCAGACTTCTATGATCAGAGTATGCGTTGTTATTGATGTCAAGAGAATCTAAATCAAGAGAATTAGAGATTCATGATGATCACAATACGAAGTTCCCAAAACTTCGCTCACCATATGTGTGTATTGTGACTAGAAGTCATGATTATATTTTGGAAAATGGTGGAAATACAGACGGTTCGCATAAGTGTGCCGGAAAAGAATAGTGAGATAATCATTCATCTCCTCAGTAAGCCGAATGTAAGTCCAAAAACTCTTCTCCGACCGCCTGTCCATGTGGGTATCGAGTTGACCGTATAGAACCAGAAACGCCTCATTAAATCATAGCTACTCCCGAGCAACCGCCAGGGTCTTTCCATCAATCTGTGGGAGATAACAACCGAACCCCAAGCCGTCAGATGCTGTCGTTGACTTCCATCGTAAACTGTCAACTAGGGGCCGATTGACATTCTCCGTTATCCCACTCCGGACATTGGGAGAACAGAGAGTTGTGCGATTTGCGGTCGTTTCGCTGAGAGCATCATCCGAAAACATCCTTTAGATCTGTACTTCTTAGTAAGCGCATCTTGGTCATCACTGGTTCGACTTACAAGCCTGAGTGAAGAGCGAGGGACGGCTCTGGTAAAGTTCAGCATTGCCCTGCTCTTGTTGTTTCCTCGTTGCAGACGTCGGTAGGCCTCCTGGACGTGTGCAGGCTGAATAGGCTCTCGAGCCTCCTCCGGTGGATCAAAAGGCCCACGCTCACGTTTCCGTTTCAAGCGGTTCTGGGATTCCCCGCCGGTCGTCTTCTTGTAGAGGTCTTCCGCAGCCTTCACCTTGAGCGCCTCTTCGGTGAGCGTCTGCACGATCTCGAACGTCAAGAAACCCAGGATATCGATAATGTCGTCGCTGGGCTTTGAGTCCGTGATGAGGCCGAAGCCAGCCCACTCCCTAAAGCGCTTGCCTTTTCGATATGTGAACGAGGCCTGCCGACAGTCGGACCAATGCACGTATTCCTCCCTAGTCATATTCTTCGTACGCTCGTCGGCATTCTTGAGACGCTGGAGTGTGGCAAAATTCATCTCTTCCTCTTCTTCGTCATCCAAGTCGTCCTTGAGCGGGGGCACCTCGTTGAAGAAGGATTGCACTTCCCAAACCAAGTCGACCTTGGCCCTCTTTGCTTTTTTACCGGCTTCTGGACCGGGACCGGCGCCGCTGGCAACAACGCCGACCGCAAGGTCGTCCCCAGCTCCCACATCCGCTCCAGCGTCTCCGCCCTTATCGTCAGAGTCTTTGACGGAGCGCCTGACATCCTTCCATTGCAAGAAGTGCCTCAACCGCGAGATCTTTGCCCGGTCGTGCCGAATCAGCATAAACAGATCGTCGGTTGATATTGATCCAAATCGCGAACCACGGCGGGTAGACAGATTGCTACATTCTCGGAGCATATGCTGGACTTGATCCTGTACAATCGACTCGATGAGGGTAGTCGTTTCTGGGGAGGGTTCGCCAGTTTCGCCCGAGACAAACATCATCTGTATCATTTCAGTTAGTGAAAACCCGTGAGTGTTCGAAACCGGTGATGCCCGGTTCATGGAGGCCATTGTGGTAAAGAGTCTGGTGAGAAGATGTTGGCCAGGAGGCGGGCTGTTGCAAGTGCCACAAGGGAGCCGTGCTTAAAGCTATGGCCCAGAGTTCTATGAGTTGAGATGCAAATGAGGGTAGATAGATGGGAGGCAGCTGGAGGACAACGAGGACCGGGTCGGGGAGGGGAGCGGTGACGCGCCAATATTGAGAGAATTCTACAGTGAAGCGCGAAAAAAAATAATTGCAAATTGCAGACTCAGTGCGGTGAAAGGAGCTTCAAGTGCTGGTGTCGAAACAAGTGAGAGAACAGACAGCCTCCAGGGACAGGGAGGTCATCTCTAAAAGTTTACCCCTATGAAGGGATACATTTCGTATGTACCTGCTGAATCTCGGTGCGATACTTCGCCATCTTATCTCTGTCCGCCATGGCGCCTAGTTATACAACAGTTGTGAAAACCTGGGGAACGCGTTCGGATTTCGCAGGTGTGTGCATAAAGAATACTGCAAATGAGTTCGAAACAATAGACAAGATCAGTCAACTGCTGAAGCAGTAAATGGGGCCGCCAGTCGTCCCAACGTTTGTGCTCCCGTCGGAAGATGTGGTGGTGATGTGATGATGGATGAGCGCTCGGACACGATGCGGCTCAACGACCCCGGTCCCGCGAACCCATCTGGGCACATAGAGCCGCATCACGTGCCTCCCCCCGCCACCTGGGCATTTGATTTTCGTGATTGAACTTTGCCGAACAGGGAAATGTTTTCTCCCCGCAACCGTTGCATTCAGGATCCTAACACATCGACGCATATCCGTATTTCCTAGAACATGCTGTATCTCGTGGGTCTCGGCCTGGCCGATGAGAAAGATATCACCGTCAAGGGTTTGGAGATTGTAAAAGCGGCTACGAGAGTCTACCTTGAGGCATACACAGCAGTCCTTCTCGTTGACAAAGATGTCCTGGTGAGTACAGCGGGGCTTCAAATATATCAGAGAAAACAGGTAATTAACATATTCCCTGGCAGTAGGAAGCCTATTACGGACGTCCCGTAATTGTGGCAGACCGTGAAATGGTGGAATCGTCAAGCGATGACATTCTCAAGGATGCGGATAAGGAAGATGTTGCGTTCCTGGTTGTGGGCGATCCCTTCGGGTACGTGTTTTGACTGCTCGCATTGCCTGTAGATCACTCATATCTCTTTGCAGCGCAACTACTCATACCGACCTCGTGCTCCGCGCTCGCGAAATGTCCATACCAACTCGCTCCATTCCCAACGCCAGCATCCTAACGTCCATTGGCGCCACCGGTCTCCAACTGTACAACTTCGGTCAGACGGTGTCCATGGTCTTCTTCCTCGATAACTGGAAACCGGCATCATTCTACGATCGAATCAAGGAGAACGTCTCCATAGGGCTACACACACTTGTTCTGCTGGACATCAAAGTCAAGGAGCAGAGTCTGGAGAACATGGCAAGAGGGCGCAAGATTTACGAGCCGCCTAGATACATGACTGTGGCACAGTGTGCTCAACAAATGCTGGAGGTAGAAGAAGAGGTCAAGAAAGAAGGCGTGTATACCAGGGATAGTCTTGCGGTAGGAGTCGCCAGAATCGGAGCTGATGACCAGAAGATTGTTGCTGGGACGCTTGGGCAGCTGTCCGAAGCTGACCTCGGAAAACCGCTCCACAGTCTGGTATTGCTGGGCCGGAGAACGCACGATCTTGAACGCGATTTCCTCGAGGAGTTTGCGATTGACAAGGAAATCTTCAACGCGATTTGGAAAAAGGACTACGAAGGGAAAAGCCACTAACACCATGGGCTTACTGGACCTGCTACATCGCAAAATTTCGCGTTTGACTGCAGTTCAATTCGATATAAGCATAGATGCACGGCTCCGATATTTAATTGACTGTCGCTTGATCCAAGGTTGCTCCCGGGCAAAGTTCCAAGGTTGAGTCTAGACATGAGGCTAGTAAAGATATTAGCGCCCATCTAAACCAACCCCACCTCTATTGTTTCCGTCATCATTATGAGAGAGAGAGATGATGTTTGCACATGCTGCGGTTCATTCGTCGTGGTCTGACGTCACACCCTTCTCCGCAACGAGCAATTCACATGTGAAGGGGCCGGCCTCATTTTGACATTCAAGAGACGTATATCTACGCGCAATACGCACAACTCATAGAAATATCACCTATCGACTTAGCTCTTCTGTCGATCATGGAGAACCCAGTGGACGAAATTCCTACCGTGATACATACCCTCGTACAGTCCTCGCCACTGCAACAGCATGACGCGATCGAGAAATACTACGCGCGCAGCGCCGAATTCGTACACCCGCTATGCAGAACTTGGAAATGGCACAACTCAAGGTTTCTTATCCATGCTATCTACAGATGGTATAAGGTCATGTGTCCTGGCGTCGAGATTACCGTGAACTCCGTCGGTAAAGCCACACCGTTTCTAGTATATGATCAAAAAGCTAATACATATATCCATGTAGCTTTCGATGAGGAAAACCTCATCCTCTACGTCTCCTTGACAGAAACTCTTCGCAGCCGGCTCCTCCCCTTCTACCGCACTCCCGTTTCCATGGTAGCTGTTATCCGTCTTGAGTACCATCCTCCCAACAATAAATACTACATCAAGAGCAAGAACAACCTGTATCAGCAAGACCAGTTGGTTAAATTTATCCCCCTTATACCCGGCCTGCCGCTTTTGGTGATGATGATGCAATACTTGGGAACAGTAGTGGCTTTGTTCATGGCCCTGCTGTTACTACCGGTCACTGTGGTGAAGGAGTTGTGGTCTTCGCAGGGTATGAGGGAGGGAATGGTGAACGGGGTTCAGCAGTGGGTGGGAAAGAAAGGAGGCAGCTATGGAGGTCAGAAGATGGATTTGCCGAACGGGCTTCCGCCGAAGAAGACCATTCGGATTGTGAATACTTGATCAGAAGACGTGGTCTGTGGGGATTCTTCGAACTACGTCGTTATCGTTGGGAGAGTAGTGCTTTTGAAGCTTTGTTTTCCCGGCTCTATCATTGTTCGATGTTTGGATTCGGGTTGCGCATCCTTCACTGAAGGGTAGTGTTGGTGCAACACAAAAGAAAAAGAAGAAAAGAAACGAAAGAAGAAAAACGAAAGAAAACCAAACCGACGCCGCAGGACACTGACCTAAAGTCAAATGCAAAGACACAAAACGCCCGATTTCTCCATTGCGCTGCTACATTGTATGGTTTCAGTCAGTGTTGGGAAACTGGAAACTGTCTCTCTATCCTAAGCACGATGGCGTCTTACAACCACAGAAAGTAGGTAAAAGTATTTGATTTGTATATATGGAGTCGTGTGAACCCAGCTTGTGGGAATGTGACCCTTGCAGTAGGGAATATACGCACGCTTGTCTTCTCATTCTGGAATTTGAATCTTCCTCTTGATAAGATAAAGCTAGGCAACGTGCGCGTTGAGGAATGCGAAATTATTCCGCAGTTCACGGGTACTGGGATAGCCAGCGTGATTCGTCCGACTCAGATAGCATCGTAATGCATTGACCTCAACAGTCGTAAGCCTGACTACGGAACCTGCGGGTGTTTTTCACACGGAGTAGTGGAGGTCCTCCCATTTGAGCAACAGAACTGCGACATGAGTCCCAATGATACCGGACCTTGCCGTCGTCAAAGGAGCCATCCCACAAGCTGTGGCACCTTCTCGAGGCGCATCAGGAGAGGGGAACCATGGTGCTTCAAATCTCCGGGGAAGGCCCTGTCATAAGGAAAGAGAAGCAGAACATAACCAGACCAGATTGAAGAAATTGCTCAAGCATTGGCCCACTGTATGTGAGCAAACGTGAGATGAAGCGGCCCAGAGAAATCTCGGAGCGCGATCAAACAGGTATGCCGTGAAAGCGGTGGAATGGTGAAAGAAACGCCGATGTTATTGCTGGTAGCAACTGAGGAAAGCTTCTGTGGTACCCTAAGTCCGTCAAAACTGGGGCCCGAAGAACTCAGGCAGCGTAGCATCGCCATCTGCACCATCGCGAAAGGCCAGTTCGCTGAAAGCCGCAGTCTGCTCTTCAGACATAGAGTTGTCAATCTGATTATCCATAGTGAAAGTGCCATCTCCTTGAAACTTAGAAAGGGCATTGAGGAGCCATCCTTCAAGCATTGTCTGGTCATCATTGTTGGGACCGTCGATGATACTTTCTTGCGAGCTGCCATGCACGTCTGAATTGAATGTGAAAGATGTAATGTCCTGCATGGCCGCAGCATCATGGGTGATAGGGACATCGCCGAGGGCAACCGTATCTCCAAATTGAAGAGTATCAGGCATCGCAGTGAATGTTGGAACAATAACTGAGTAACCCATGGAGGCGAAGTTCTGAATGGAACCCGTTCCTGGAGCGGCAAGGAAACTCTGAGCAGGAGCCGCCTGGGTCGGGATGGGCTGGAGAGCATTGAGAAACTGTGTGAAATCGATATCGTCAAATGATTGCTGTGTAGTCATGGTTCCCGATGGCATGAGTACTGCAGGCTCAGGTGAAGATGAAGTTGAAGCATCTGGAGAATCCCCGATGCCGCGCAATTGGGCCAGCCTCAGCTGGAGGTCCAGCGGAGTGCCTTGGTTTATTCTCTTGATACGTTGAAGACGTTTTTTCTCTCGATTAGCAAGACGCTTACTCTCCATGGTGTTGACAATCTGGTCCAAAGTCTTCCGACCCTGTTTAAGTGGGACATGGAACGTAGATGAAGTAGCGAGATCACCATTGAACTTGAATTCCTTCGCGTAGTTGTGTGCCTGGCAATAACAGATGATCTCTTCGACCGACATGGTGGCGCCAGACTTTGTTGTGGTATCTTCGGAAGGGTTGGAGACGCGGACGATATATGGATCATTTTGTTCATTTAGATGGAGCTCCCAGTGGAAAGTCTTGAAGTACTCATCAGGTGAAGGCAACAGCATGGCCGGGCACATGAGCTCGAAGTACGGAACGAGAGGCGCATTCTCCTTGCCGATCTGATCACGGATATGGGACCATGTCTTCGCCAACAAGGCCCAGACAGGTTTGTTTGTGTCTTCATTCCACATTTCGGCTAGCATGTTGGAGAGTTTCTTCATGGGAAATGCCTTGAACTCCGGCACACCAATGTAGTAGCCTGATTGATGTCAGTATGTTTTAATGCACAGCTAGGAATTGAACTTACAGCGAAAGCCAACGAATGCATTGAGGGCTTTCTTTGGCTTCGTAGGCTTCACTGCCTTGTCTGTAGTATTCGAGATTGCGGGAGTAAAGGAAGTTGGGGTCGCAAAAGCCGACATCAATGCACCCTGAGAAGAGCGATCCTGCACTGAATTGATGAGCTCCACCATCTGAGCACTGGTGCGAGTCTTGAGAAAGTCCGCGATTTCAGCAGGAGTCGGTGTGCGCGGGACGAAGGTCGCGGTAGGTTGTTGGGTTGCCATAACAGGGATGGCGAGGTTCTTTGTTATGGTGGAGTAAAAGAAGCTGTGCGCTGAAATCCTCCAAGGATGCAAACAAAGAATTGATCGAAGTGGATAGGAGCAAAAGTAGAACAAAGAAGGTGCGAAAGAGCTTAAGTAGAAGGCGGGGCAGGCGACAAGCGAGACTGAAGCCGCTTTCACCGTGGGCCTGTGCTTTTCACCTTCACCGTGGACTCTTGCCCAGGAGACACCGCCGTCTGGGAACGGCTAGTAAGCCCTCAGGTGAGTGAGTGAGTGAGATTTGCAAGAGTTATCTTACCGCCGGCTCTGTTCACGCAGACACCAAGTGAGCTAGTTGAGATGTGAACTCATGGATGTTTGGGTGCTACGCATGTATTTATTATGTCTACACACCGCCTTGTGTAATGTGGAACTACCTAACGGGGCTCCTTGAAGGACTTGGTAGTTGATCACCGAAAGCGAACCCTGAGCAGGAGAGTAGACAAGCCTCAACCGAGATTGAGATAGGTGTCTGTATCTCCGGTCGACAGATGCGCGACATTATGTTGACGCAAAGTGCGAGCCGTTGTGGCCGAAGCAATTCTCTCGACTGAACGCTCAACGGGAGCAAGTCCGACAACCAGATGCTGCCTCGGGTCTTGTGGACTCACTGCAATACGTTAGAACGACCATAGCTGATGAATTCAAGCTGGCTTACCTTGATATCGCTTCCGAATCTTGGATCTATCATGATCACTACGACACCCTCTAATATTGACCTCAGCTTGAATTCTTCCAATCACTGGCCCAGATGTATGTAGGACACCGCCATTCAGTTCCCCTTTCTTTCTGACCACTGGGTCCTAGCGGTCTGTTGGATGGATGTCAGATCTGTGCGACCTTTCCCACAGCTGGAGTAACCTACCTTGAACAGAGAAAAAATTGCCTCCCGCAATTCGGACCTGCTTTCTTCACGGTATAAATCGTGCATGGTTCTCCGTGCTCGCAGCGCGGAAGCGGCTTCTTCGAGAATAACTTGGACCAAGTCTGCTGCGTGGCTTTGGAATCGGTGCCAGATTTAGTTTCGGCAAAATCAGCTGGCTCCGCAGTTGGCACATCAGCTGGAACAGTGGAATTGAACCCGTTCATCGGGGGCTGTTCTGAATCGCTGATAACTCGTGTGGGCTTGGAGATGAAAAAGCCCCTAAGAGACTGCTGTCCTCCCTTGATCGGCGGTTGACTTGGAGAAGACTCTCTTGCGTTCGATTTGCTTCGCTTCACTGGTTTGACTGGCGATCCCGAAGCTAAACGGCGTTTCTGAGAAGCCTTAATAGGGCTAACTGCCGCCGATGGCGACTCGGCTTCCTGAGCTCCCAAAGCGCCCTCTTCTCCTGTGCGTCGTGTCTCGCTCAGCTGTGCACTACCTTGTGATGTTACAGCGGGCGTGGCCATCGTGGGCACCATGGGGTTCGATTTACTCGCAAACATATCCTTGATGCTCCTTCGTTTGGTGAATTCAGGAAGGCGCTTGCCAGATGAGGCTAGGATATCAACGGTGGTATCATAATCCCGCAGTCGTTTGCCATCCTTGAACATTCCCGGCGGATTGAGAATGTCGAGTATATGCACCTGCTCTCCACGCCACTTCACTATCTCTTTAATGGACGCATATACAGGGCAGTGGTCTGAGCCCATCAAGCCTTCTTGGATATTGGCGTCACAGAACCAGTCTTTGATATCGATGCTGCAAAGCACATAGTCGATTCTCGATCCAAAATTGCCAGGGCGGGCATTGATTTTCTGCTCCCAGTGGGTATACATGCCTTCTCTTGCGGGATGGAATTCTCGGCAGATGTCCCACAGAATCGGAGTCTCCCTGCCTTCATCGCGTTGGCCGGGTACTTTGCCGTTCTCCACTAGCTGATTAAATAAACGTCGCGTGGGTCTATTCAGGTACTGCTCAACCGTCTCTCCTTCCTCACGCATGGACTCCTCCGCTCTCGCACTGTCGATTTCCTCTCGCGAAACGTTGAGATCACCAGCGAGGATGACATTCTTGCCCAGCCGGGCAAGGTTGCGGATGCGGCTGTCGAGGGCGCAGCGAAACCCAAAACTGAAGTCATCCCTGGTCCCGCTGCTGTTGGCCGGGCTGTAGACACCAACCACTACGAAGGCCGGGAACTCAACCACAACGCACCGCCCTTCAGCATCCAGGGATAGGGGATCCACGCCCAAGTCGGTCAGCTGCGTTATGTTCGGATAGCCGCCTATGCAAGACTGTTCGGGGAGCTCGCGGTAGGGGACGGAAGACCCAGGTGGACACAGAACGCCTAGCAGACCTTCCTCAGCGCGAATCGGGGCACATACGGATTGGCGGGTGTAGATGGCCACGCCGGAGTATCCTGGACATAAGTCAGCAAACAGTTCGAGCTTGCAAAGTCTTTTGGCACAGTGGTACCTTTCTTGTACTTGGGCAAGCTGAAGAAGCAGTCCCACCCGGGAACTAGGACCATGTCGTCTGTGAGGTCTTTGCGTTGTATTTTCAACTCTTGCAGGATGACGATGTCGGCTTCGAGGATATCAAACATGGCGCTGAAGGAGCGTGTTTCGCGCCATGGCTGGTAGCCAAAGGGATTGCGGATGCCGTTGACGTTCCAGGTGGTGATGCGGACCATGGCGGCGAGAGCGACGAAGAGGCGAGTCGACAGACCGTCATGCCGTCGCACAGGCTAGAATTAGCCAAAAGGAACGGCGTGCGGTGAAGCCAGAGCGGTGTCGACCGCCTCGTCCCTGTCGTGTGGCCCGCGCTGGAAGCCAACTTCGATAGACGCGGTTAAGCAACGACGTCACGTTGCGGACTTTCAAACAGCGCAAACATGCCAAGGCCACTGCCTCAGCTGATCGTAGCTTGACCTTGGTCCCTCGCTTCCCTCAACGAACGTCAAACTTGACCTCACCTCGTCCGCCGAACCTCTCGATTGCGACCCTCCACCCTCTCCATTGCCCATTGCTGCCACAAAATGCTTGCCCAACGTACATTGGCCTGCGCCGCTCCGCGAATGGCGTTTGCCCGCGCTCCTCTCCGCCGCCGCAATTACAGCTCCGAGACGAAGCAGTTTGCCGGTGCCGAAGATAATGAGTTCAATAGAGAGCGAGCTCACATCCAGGAACATGCTGCTGAGAGCGGAGGTGAGATTACAGCTTGGGGATTTCCAGTCCCGGGGCTCTTTCTGCTATCCTTACACGGCAGTCGCTAATGCGAACATACAGAATTCTGGCGCAAGCTTTGCATCTAGTAAGACACTCCTCCTTCACCTGCGGCATCACGGTCAATTGCGTTGTGGAGGTGTGCGTGGGCGGGGAAGTTTTGGTTTGGACTGCATATGGATTCCGCAGAGCATCGACCGGCACCGTTGGGCTACACCCTCCGTCCCGGTCGAGCTGGGTTAAGCACACAAATGCCGAATCGCAGGAAACCTTGCCTTCTTCCAGGCGTCAGGCTAATCGCATCGCAGCGTCGCCGTTCCAGCCCTCATTGTCGCCGGCGTTAATGCCAAGATCAGGTGGGATGCTCACTGGGAACATGTCGCTCACGAGCCTCCCCGGGAGGAAAGGCCCGAGTATCCCTATCAGAACATTCGCACCAAGAACTTCTTCTGGGGCGATGGCGACAAGGTATGACCCCGATACGGTGTATGATTCGTGTTGAGACTCATGCACGTAGACCCTCTTCTGGAATGACAAGGTCAACTATCATAAGAGGAGCGAGTAAGCTGCGTCAAGCACTCGTACAATCACGTACCACTTGACCGCGTTCCCTGGGGTGGCTCTACATCCCCAACACCGGGGCTGGCCTTGTATAGTACCATCGAGCCTTAAGATAAGCTATCGAAACCGCGTTACCATTTCATTTGTCATATAGATATCGTGGCATAGTAACTGCTCCAATGTGTCCATCAAATAACTCCTTCCGGTTCATTGCTCGACATTGTGTATTGTATGATCCCAAACACGGTTGTGATTCTGCGCCCACTCTTCTGCCAGTTTCTCGTCTCCGCGAAACTTTGCAAGCAGCGCTTTCTTCATGATTTGCTCGCATTCCCCATGAACGTCCTTGACCTCCTTGAAGCCTGTACACTTATCAACATTACTCCAATGAGTAGGGCTGCAGTATAGGATAACTCACAATTCAGAGCCTTGTCGATGTATAAGCCGGCGCGGCTCATTTGCGTGATGCGGGAACGATTTCCAGTCGACATTGCAGGACCCGCACAGCCGGCAAGGCCGACATACGAATCTGCAAGGTATGAATATAAGATACCGCAGGACAAGGGTTCGTTGTTCTCCAGGGCCTAGAATTGTTAGCCTTGTCCCAACCATGTCGGACTCAAGGTATGCGTACTTGGGGAATCACAGCATGAAGCATCCGCGAAGCAGCCTCAAAGTCCCCCAGGGTATTCAGAATATTGGCAAGCAGGCCGGTTGCACTCCACAGAGCGGGCATCAAGCGGGTCCTGAAGGCAATACTTGCCGCTCGTAGTGCAACGCTGAAGCCCCCTTCCGGTTTCCTGACTGTAGAAAACAAGGTGGCTTTCATAAGCAGTAATCCGAGACGCTGCAGGACGTCTGCGTCGTGCTCCCGTAAGGCAAGCGCCCGCTGCTCTACGAGTTTGAAAGCTTGTGAGAAGTCGCCGTGGCATATAAGATAATCGATGCGAGTTTCGAACAGGAGAAAGGAGATTTCGGGGTCATTGCATGAGTCTGAGTCCAGTGCGGAAAACAGGCTTTCACATGCGGCCCAATCAGCCCTAAACCGGTGAGCAACGTCCTGATCGCTTTCGAAGTTAAATGTACCGGCGAATGGCTTGTTTCAGCTTTATTAGTCCTGTACAGAAGTAGATGTACTGCTGAAACTTCAAGGTGCGATGGTTGAACGCTTCGCTTGCCTCCAGCAGTTGTAGGGCATCGTCGTAGCGTCCACTGTGCATGGCCTATCGCTCTCAGTCAGTCCCCGCAGTACAAGCCTGACAGTTTGTCAGTCTTAGGGCACTCACGTTGAAAGCACACCTGCATCTGGCTCGAATGCGCTCGTCGTTGGGGGAGCTGTGACCGTAGCAATCAAGGAGTAGCTGGCAATATGTACGGGAGAGGTCTGAAAGCCCAAGCCTGGAATAAAGAGTGGACTGCAGGAGCATGTGTCCCCCGTGATTGTCTATGCTCTCTCTTGTGTTCAGATGAGCAGCTTGATATAGCTGCTCAAAAGCCCGAGGGACGGATTCACCCTGAGCCACGTCAGCGAGTAACCTTCTCTAATCGATGCCAGAACGTACCGTTGCCATGCATCGCTTCGACTCATTCAACAATGTGGCACTCAGTAGATTATACATTCCGGTTTCCCTCGACTTCATTTTCAGAAACGCAAAAGCGTCCCGCTCCGAACCTAACAAGCCTTTATACCCGGCGCGCTTCATTTGCTCCGGACAGGCATTATTCAAATGCTGCAGCCAGCTCAAGCTGAAATTGAGGCATGTCATATCCTGATTCTCCCTTGCCGTCACAATGGTCTCGTTGATCGCGGCGACAGCCTCAGTAAAGGAGCCAAACTCTGCCTGGAGTATTGCCATGTGAAGCAGGGCATACTGATACTCCATCCTCTCCCGAGTCAGCATTGCAAGATCGTAGTATCGATGGATATTGTCGAAGGCAGAGGTGTAGTCACCTGCTCTCCAGGCATCAAAAAAGTTGACCAGGTGCGATTGTCGTACAACCGAGCCTGTGGATTCTAATAGAGAGCGGAGTTGTGCCCTCATATCATCAGGCACACGGCAACCAAGCCCTAGACCACATTAACATATGATGCGAGAAACGAATAAAGAGAAAACTTCATACTCTGCAGCCGGTCCAACTGGAACTCTAACACGCGCTCAAGATCGTGCGTGCTAATTGCATGTATTACTTCATCTTCTGCATCGAGTTGTCCATATGCGACTTGGAAGAGCTCATCGCCGGGCCCCAGATCAAAGGTGGATATGTTCACGTCTACTCCAGATGAAGCAAGACCCGCAATCCGTCTCGTCCATTGTGCAGTGGGTGCCCGGTATATAAGAAAGGCTGACCAAAGTTTCATGGCATCATCAAACTGCAACCTGGTGAATTCCAACCTCATTCTTCTGACAAATGTCCCCAGTGGCGAAATCTTGTGAAGAACGATCCGGTCCTCGGGGCGCTCATGAACTTCAGACTCGCCCGCGGGCCCGTCTCTCTCAAAGAGACTGTCTAGACTATTGAAGAGGTCATGGAGGGCGTCTAGCGAACTGATTGCCCACAGGTCCTTGAGGAAGACATCCAGGAGAGTCCGACCGGGCATGCTAGATGCCTGTGACTGGAGAACTTCTTCGAAGGCGTGAATTGGCAGAGATGCATCCTGGCTGGCCTCGGAATGCGAACGCGCAGAAGAGGGGACACGAGCGATCGTGTGCGAGAGGATGAAGGAGAGAATGGGGATAGTAGCGGACGATGGAAGAACGGACTGACAGTATAGCTTAACCAGGACGAGTAGACTGACTTTCTGAACAGTGAGGTAGCGAAACATGGCCATCGCATGAAGCTGGATTGGCCAGGCACGAGCCTAACCCACAGGTTCAGGTACACCGGTTTTGAGGCGCGAGGTGGGTAGCTGGTGCGCGTACCGCGATGGTAGGAACGAGGACGCGAGTGACAATGTGAACATTCGCTCTATGTTCTTACAATTGCACCGGCCTTTTCCATCGCAACATTGACAGTAGCTCGATTATTCGCGAATGCGGAGGATTTTAGTTAGCAACCTCTGCCCCCCAAGGCATACTTGGTAAACTTCACAACCAGATTAGCGGCCGGAGCACGCCAAGGTTGGATCAAAACGCGAAGTCACGTGACATTTCCATGTTATTAAGTGGATGAGTAGTGGAAATGGGCGCTACCGACTTCCTGATGTGCTCGTGAAGGGAAATATAAAACACTGAACGTTTAAGGACAGTAGCCCAAGGATCCTTTCGGAGGTTTCAATTTCACACGTTTGGTGGAATCCATAGACGTCCAACCGGCGCAGCTGCGAGGGAGCTCCTGTTTCTAAATCACTCATGCTGCTCACTTGGACCGCAAAACTACGCGCCCAACCTGAGACCTGATAACCAATCCGGCGATTGGGCGCCTTGCCCTGAATAAGCTCCTTACGCCATTTCTGAAATCGTCCACCCACCTAACTGGGCTTGAGAGAACATGTATGGGTACATATGTACTGCCGGTAGAAAAAAAAACCAGCGCCGACAACGTCTGAGCTCAATCGGCATGAGCATTCTCTGGCTTATCCTTTGGTTTGATAGCAAGTTTACCATACTTGCGTGGCCGACTCGCCGCCACCGGGATTCCTGAGATATGGCCTCTGACGCTTCGAAGGATCTCGTCTTCCGGGCCTCCATTGGTAGCCCATATACGGCTGATACTGAGATCGTATGGCCCAGTGATCCGATCAATGACGGACATTCCAACACTGCGTACCTTCTGCGTCAACATCTCCCGTTGCGGCTCCACGACCTGGCCATGGTTTGTACGGACAAACTCATTCCACTTGATTAATAGCGTTTCCCACTCTCCGGGCGTCTTGGTGTACAAGCGGTGTTGGTGGATATCCGTTGGTACTATCGACTCTGTCTGCACATTGACAAAGTACTTGCGGCCGTCTGATTTAAAGTGAACTGCCAGATACGCGTACGAATCTACATCCCACAGTGACTTTCCGAATATAGTGTAGCCGGGATCCCGTGTCCTCCACCCAGCATAACCGGTTCTCTCGACTAGAGGCTGGTTTTTCGGGAGCTCGGTCGATATCTCCCCGTGAAAGCGAGCATGTGCCGGTTCCTTGTCTGAGGCTGGGTGGAAGTCGAGATGGACGGTGGAGAACCCGCCGATATCCTTGTCACTCATGCGCTTGCATCTGGTCAAGTCATCCGGGCTGTCGAAGAGGATCAGAGGGAAGGCTTTTTCGGGCCTTTGCAGTGACTCGAACTTCAGGACTGCGAAACGATCAGCTCTGCGACGGTTGAAAAGTTAGAGCCGGACTCACCTCGCCTGGACAGGCGGCCAAATTCGTCGAGGCTTCTGCGCCAGAACCCGGGAGCCAGACAGCGTGCGGTAGGTATCATGGCGACGGAACAGGACGGACACTCATACAATCATGCACATCGAAGAGATTGGACTCGTATACCTAGGGAGCTGCAAACTGTACTAGGAAGGCCAATTCTGTGGTCTTCTTCGGTCGAGAACGCGACAAATGATCGCGGGATGATGGAGCCGGAAACGGTTGCGGAGGTGCCGCGGCGATCTTCAAACTTTCGCCGCAAGGCTTGGCGCTCCAAAATTATGTCGTCGTTCCTGAGTCTCCGAATCTGTTGCATCGCAATCTGATCAACATTATCCCAGGCCCCTATCTTTCCTACCATCCCGTTTTCCACCATTTGCCAGAGCGCTTGTTGTTCGCGCACTCGTTTCCAAATCATCATCACCGGACGAGTCTCGAGGGAGATTCGCTGTCATCGATGACATTCGAACAGACTACACACCCTCGAGGGATTCGGGAAGATACAACGCCGCTAAAACACACCCTCCATGTCCAATCGCGGGAGACGGGGGACCTGGCTGCGTCACCGCGCCCTGGAGAAACGACAATAGCGGAGAAGAGTACTCCTTTCGCGAAGTCATGGGCGCATTTCATCGCCGGAGGGTGAGGCTCTTCATTCATAGTGACATCAATGAGGCAGACACTAATGCGACACAGCCTAGGTGGCATGGCCTCAGCCACGTTGACCGCGCCTTTAGACGTCCTCAAAACCCGGTTACAATCGACATACTACCAGCAGCATCTTGTAGCCGCGCGGGCCGCGCGAGGCCTGCCCCCCATCGAAACCATGTCCTTCGCCCGAAGTTCGCTGCTCCACATTCGCGAAACCGGAGAGATCCTCTGGCAGGTCCCCAAGGTCGAAGGCTGGAGAGCGCTCTTCAAGGGACTCGGGCCTAATCTGATTGGCGTAGTGCCCGCGCGTGCGATCAATTTTTACGTGTACGGGAACGGGAAGAGGATAATAAGCAATTATTTCAACGACGGGCGGGAAGCTGCGTGGGTACATTTGGCTTCTGCTGCTTGTGCAGGCGTGGTCACCGGTACGGCGACAAATCCGATCTGGCTCGTAAAGACGCGGCTGCAACTGGATAAGAATACACACGCGGACGGCCGGGGACGGCAATACAAGAACGCGTTGGACTGTACCATGCAAACGTTGCGGAAAGAGGGTGTTCCGGGACTTTACAGGGGATTGACTGCTAGTTATTTGGGCGTTGTGGAAAGTACGATGCAGTGGGCTTTGTATGAGCAGATGAAGCTATCCCTGGCGAGAAGGGAGGCGAGAATCGCAAACAGCGGCCGCCCTCCCACCGCTTGGGACCACACGGTAGCGTGGACTGGCAAGATTGCGGCGGCGGGAGCAGCCAAGTTCATAGCTGCTATCCTCACGTATCCACATGAGGTGCGCCATCCCTCTCTGAATTGCCATCACGGCCACTCTGTCGAGGATTCATACTGACCAGCTGTCTAGGTTGTGCGCACACGTCTGCGGCAAGCGCCCTTAGCGAACGGTCAGCTCAAATATACCGGACTACTCCAATGCTTCACGACCATTTTCAAGGAGGAAGGCATGGTGGCATTGTATGGTGGACTTGTCCCCCATATGCTCCGCGTCGTGCCCAGCGCGGCCATCATGTTTGGCACCTACGAAGGGGTATTGAAGGTGCTTGGTACCAGCAGCAATTTGTAATACGCATACTTCCAGCATTGGGCGGGCGCTCTTGTAAAAAAGAAGAAGGAGGAATCGCATCGGTCGGCGTTGGTGGTCCAATTTTCATGTTCCCTAAGGTATAATACCCTGTCACTTCTCCTCTGTAAATTAGATTTTCTAGCACGGGTATCAGGGCGGGTGCAGGTCCACAGATTTGTACGAGATTTGTACGATACAACTGAGATATGACGGCGCAGAAGCCGCCTTGAGTTAATAAGGCTGCCTTGTATGAATCTTGAAAATGAATTACTGTCTTCGCCGTCAGTTCGTGGTCGAAGCTGTTAGGCGTGAACTGCGGAATGCTCTAATCCTCACTAAATATGAATACCATTGTGAGTTCATGTGAAGTCCCTGAGAATGTCCACAGGAGGCTCAACAGCTCTCCCCAGTATCTATCTACCCTTGACTAGATATATTTACACTTGATTTATAGGTTGAGGTGGTTGGCACGGAGGCACGTGACTGCGTCAAGCATCCATGATTCCAGGTTTGCGCCAGGCCCGGCATCGCGGAATTGACGTCCGAGTTCCAATTCGGGGACAACATTTTGCGAGTACCTAAGTACCGCGTCGCCTTCTTCCCACAGAACAGCGACCATGTCCCTACCCATCCGCCGCCATGCCCTCCGACCTCTCCAACAGCGGTGCACCACCACCATACGCCCGCACACCATCCGACACATAACAACACAGAAGGAAACCAGGCGGGAGAAGGAGTCTGTGTCGCCGCAGACGCTGAGGGAAAGGGCTCAGGTCGAAGATCCGAAATTGTTTGAAAAAAGCGATTTTGGCATGTTGCCTGGTACGTATCGCTGCTCTCAATTGTATTGTCTCTTGGGAAGAGAAGCCATCGGGTTGGGGGGGAGCGCAAAACGTTTGTTCGTAGAGATTGACAGTTGATTCAGGGACTTTTATTCGAGCATGGGATACCACGCCGCCCTTACTCCCGCGACCGCTGTACCCGTTAGATGCAGGTCGGATTAAACGCGCGCTGGCTGATCGATGGAAGTACGAGAAGACGTGGTTGAAGGCGAGGATTAGAGATACCTTCGTGTACGTCTCCGTCCTCCCATGCGGGAGATAAAGATAAACATTTCGGCAGGAGATGAGGAGAGATATAGCTAACGCCACGCCTAGCATGTTCAACTACAAATTCCGAGTCCGACGCGGTCCGCGGCTCAAGGGCGTCTTCTGGCACGCCAGAGTGCAAGGAAGAGCCGATGAGCTTTATGAAAAGCTGTACTATGCGTTTGCGAGGTATATATTATTCCCCCCCGCAAAAAACTCTCATACTCATATGCAAACCGAACTGAATCACCACACAGCAAAGACACCGACCCCATCAAAGACCTCTGCACAGAAGGCCTCCTGAAAAACATCACCGACCGCATCGCAGGCCGCCCCGAGGGGGTGAACATGACCTGGCGCATCCTCGCCCGCCACGGCTGGCCCTGGTCCCGCGTCGTCTCCAACCGCTTCGGCTATCTGCCCGTGACGGGCGCCGACGATAAGGATCACCCGTATGTGATCCGCCAGTTGGTGCTAAGAAAGAGCACGCGCCAGGTGCTCAGGATTGAGCGGCAGCGGCAGCCGGACCACCGCGCGCGAGTCACGGGTTCGTCGGGGACGACTTTGCAACGGAAGAGGCGGTTGCTGTGGTCGCCGGATGGCGACCAGCCTGGAGCGCGGGGGAGAGTAATGGAGGAGGAGGAGGAGTGGGACGAGGAGGTGAAGGGCGAAGAGAGGCATGATAAGAACGTCGTCGAATACCTCGTGCTGCAGCAGGTCATGGTTCGTGGCGAGCTGAAGGACTGGCGGCTATGGGGCTTTGCGGATAAGACGACTGTGCAAAGTATAGAAGAGAATGAGACGAAGGAAGAGGAGCTGGCTGCCTTGCAAACCAGATAGTCACCTTTGAGGGGTTGGTCGCCGAGAACATAGGTCTGAAGGAGGGCAAGTGGAACTTTAGGGATCGATGTATGAATATAGAGAGTAAAATGTACGCAGCCCTCTGCAAGTGGGCCCCATAATCAGGAAGGGCTGTCGACGATCTTGTGATTATACGAGCAAGAGCATGTCCACCATCACAACACACCGATACACAACAATGGAAAATGGTACTCGCAGCTTGTAAATAACATTCATTGCTATGACCAATGACCGACTGCCCCCAAGTTCCCCGCAATGGCCAAAGAAAGAACCCTCCGCCTCGCTTTTGCGACGAGCCAGGCAGACAAACCGACCAAGACTATCCCTTTCCCATGGGCATGAACATATCATCAACAATAGATAAAGCCCCCCCATTTCTTGTAGTCCACGGGCGCTCCTCAGTGACGGGGTATCGCTTTCAATTTCTCGTCGAGGGAGTCATCGATCCATGTCCATTCAGTGCGTGCGATGGTTATAGGGCAGGCAAAACCACCGGACCGAGGGCGGACGCGACAGGAGACATTTCGTCTTTTAGAAACCGTGGACCTATGAACAGTCAGAAAAGGTCGAATGACTTCACGCAATCGTCCAGCTTACTTTGATGTCCTTGGAATCCAAACCAAGACCTTCCTTCTTATCGACGAGAAACTCCTGAACATCTTTGCGTTGATCGCCCTGCAGCTGGATCACCTCCCCCATTTCGGTGTCGTTGACAATGGTGCCATTGCAAGCGAACTTCTTCTTGATGACCTTGAGGATCTTCTTCTGATCGAACTTCTTGGGCAAGCCTTGGACCGTGGTCAATGTCTTGCGACCATTGCGCTCTACATGCAGTGTTAGATACCGTCTCTGCTACGTGGCTCATGACACGTCGTGGTGCCAGGGGTCACGACTTACGCTGGATGCGGATATGAATGTAATTCTGAGATTGCTTGGTCTCGCCAGTATCCTCATCGGCCTCGGCGAAGGGGTCTGCAGCGTAAAGTTAGCACAGTTCGAACGAGACCAATAGATCCCCCCGCGCATGGGATGCCGCAACTCGAAGAAGGAGGTAGGGTGAAGTTTCGAGGCTACGACATGCGTCGCGCGAGGGGGCAAAGCCGTATGACGACAGTATGGTGTGAGGAATGAGCGGTTGAACTCACCGAAAGTCTTGAGATTCTCGATGGACATAAACTGCTGTTTGGCCCGCTAACGTGGGGGAGTCTGGGAAGGGTTGGGTGAAAGATGCGATAGACGCGCCGCTGAGGATAAACGCTGGTGATGTGGCGGGTTGACGGTTGAGCTGTCTACTGGGAAGGTGGGGAGGGAGGGGAGGGGGAGGGCTGTGAGGCGAAGCCGGGCGGCCTTTTGATTAGCGCGGATGGTCCGTGCCCTCTGCTTATGTCATCGGGCCCGGCCGCTCGCCTTGTCTGGCTTTTGGTGTCTTCGGCCGGATCTGAATGCGATCGAGATAAGAATGTGCGAGAACGTGGAATCCCGGGGAGCAAAGGCACTCATGTTGACACGCTATGGGGAGATGCTATGCTCTATTTCTGCGCATCTCAGAATCCAATACAGCGCTCTCAACCTGCGAATTCTCCATACACCACGGCCAACTTAGATGCTCTAAAGTTAGGAGAAATGCTAGCAGGTGATGCTACCCTAGGCGATTGCACCAGAGCACCAGCTATAGGGAGCTCGATTATTCACCCATCACCGTTAACCAGTCGCAAGCGCCGATATTATAGTACAGTGAAGCGAGCTCACTCGGCTCGCGTGCATTGCCGCAGTCCATGAAGACGATGCGTCAAGAAGAAGGTACAGCTGGTGGCGCTTCGGTAGAGGATCCCGTGCCGGCCTGCGCTGGTGGAGGTGGCAGCAGGAGAGGCATGTAGCCCTAGGATTGCAATCAGTGCCGTGGTACTGCTAAAGGTTGAGGAGTAGATGAGGAGTGTCGGGATACTCACCACGAGAAGGGACATGACTGTGGCTGGGTCAGCAAGAGCTCGTGCAAGAATGGACGATGACGGCACTCACAGGCCATGCCGACAGAAAAGTAGCCCGGCGTCGTTGAGGTACGCTTCTGCTCGGCGCTCTCGGCAAGCCAGGACTGGACAGCAAATACAACGGCGACCCTGTCGTATTCAGTGAGCAGGTGTAGTCTCATCAACGCCAGTATCGGGACGTCATACCAGCCGACCACCCTGCAGGACAAAGCAGAGGTTAGCACGATCAGATCCAAAACCGCATCGACGGCATGTAGGTCTTACTTGTTCCGCGTGAAAATCTACAAGAAGCTGTTAGTTTTCGTGGGGGGCCTTCGCAGTGGGAATCTTGGGCACTCACGGCAGCCATGGGCAGAGTACTAGCCATTGTACCTGGTGCAGCTTGTAAGTACCAGGAGGGGCCAGAACGGGGGGTTGTGAGGGCATACTGGCCATGTCGCCCTCTGACGAGGAACTGGCGGGCTCTGCGTAGGGGACAACTAGAAGGAATTCATGTCAACATGCCACGTGACTAAGGGGTTCGAGCTCCAAGGTGGTTGTGAGCCAAGGACGGCGGGGAGGGCGTACTGAGGTCCGCACGGCGCATGTCTTTCTTCGAAGCCATCTCGTACAGTGGAGAACAGGTGCTGGGAGCGGGAGGTGACAGGGTGTCGATGGATGGGATCAATTGATGGAGATGGCTTCACTGTTCACCATGCCATGGAGGTGAAGTTGGAGTCGGGACAGACCAGCGAGCCTTGAAGCACAGACCCCTGCTTGGACGATTGTGGGGAACCGCGCCGCCATCCAATAATATTGATAGATCTGATGTATGATTATGGGTGTCCGTCCAGGCCTTCGACGATGCAGATAAGGTAGAACCAGATCGGCTGCTTGTAAACTCGATGTTGTGGATCATGGTTCCATTATCGGGCTCAGGTCTCACTGTGTGACCATACTGTGCACAGTACTGCATACTACTGTGTATTTTCTACGGGTCTAGCCGTCGGAACGAAGACAAATCGAGTACGGAGTAATTCTACGGAGTACTCTGCACAGAATATCCTTGTAGCTCACGGAAATGCAGCGACAGACCAGGGCGCAGCGCATTCAGTATGCCGCTGGTGGCGATGACTCGCAGCAAGGGAGTAGTGTTTATTTATTCTGTGGTAATAATGTGCCGGCGCTGCCAGAAGGGGTGGCGGTATCACCTTGTCCGTCTGCCGGGCCGGACGGCTGATGGCTGATCACCGCACCTGGCCATTGTCGTGTCCTACCCATGCTTCTTCGTGATAACCACCGAACCCCCTCCCAGCACCCGTCGTTCCTCACCATCCTCTCTTTCTAGCCCACCGCTCCTTATCGCGTCCAACGTCCAACCACAGCTCACCTTGCATCCATCCCAACGCCGCCGGCAGACAGCCTTGCGACTCCGCCGAACCCATTATCCCCCGCTCCTCCCTTGCCGACCTGTCCTATCCCTACAACTCCGCCGACCATGATTCCGCTTCGAGTGCGATGAACTCTCGGTTTGGCCCAGGGATTCGAGAATCTCTGCAACACCGCGACAGCAGTCGGCCCCAGCGGCCCCAAGGCCCTCAGCCCATCCCGCAACTCGCACAATCGACTCCGCGCAGCCATCATGCCCAGTACACCGAAGGCATCGGCCCAGCAATCGCCGACCACCACCACCCAGCAGACGATGCGAACAAAACCCGAGGTCTGACGGACACCAAGGCACAGAGTGCTGCTACCTCTGATGCTGTTCTTCCTCCCGCCCAGAATGTGTCCCGCCACGTCCAGAAGGGGAGGCCCCACGTCTTCTTCAGCAATGGCGGCACTACTATGACTGAAAGTCTTCCTTCCTCGCCCCAAGGGCAGCACGCCGACACTGCTATCGACTTGCCTCTACCCCCGAGATCTGGGCATTGGCTATTTGCGGATCTCGCCACGCAGAGTCGCACGGCTCCCCAAGGCATCGGATATAGCATGGCCGCCACTGGAAAGCCTGCGGGTGCTGAACCCCAACATCCCGAACCCCTCTTCCCGGGCGGTCGTAAGTAATCCGGCTGAGGCATGCACCATTGATGCTAACGTCTAGGGATCAGGAAACGCTGACATGTCCTTCTGGACAGGAAATAACCCTGAAGATGCATTGTCGGAGACACTGGTCAAAGCTGGGGTCAGCAATAAAGCCCAAATCATGAACGAGACAAATACCGCCCGTCCGTCCCTTTGGTCCAATCTGAAAAGCCGTGCTGGCTTGAGCAATCTCTCATCGCTATTTCTGGCGTTGCTCGAGAAACGACAGTCTTGCGGCCGAATCACTCTGTCCAGCAGCTTCAAGCCGCCGCCACGATTGACATTGCGAGACTCGACCCGAGAGGCATGGCTACATGATCTCGCGAACCCTGCTGTTGGGTTGCGGCGTCTGAGTCGGACCATCCCACATGGTATCACAGGTACTGTGCTCCTGGACCATTGCCTTAACAAGAATATACCTCTCCCCCGAGCAATATGGTTAGCAAAATGTGTCGGTATCAACGAGATGCGCTCACACAAGCGGAAAGGACAGGCCGGCACTCTTACCTGGGTCAGAGGCTGGACTAGTTCAGTCGAACAGTTCTTGGAAATTGCAATATCGACCGTGGGCCAGCAGGGGTGGAAACCGCGTGTCACGTATGCGTATGTGTGCTGTATCCAGTCATGACTCTTGCTCACAGATATGTAGACTACAGCTGGCTACCTCCCTCTACAAAGAGCAGCTGCTCGACGATGAACATTTTCTCGATTGGGTCCTCAAAAATCTAGCAGCATGTCCGACGGAACGTTTGTTCTTGTGGTTGATGATCGTCTCAATCTACAGACAAGATTTAACCTCATCGAGACGCAGAGGTAAACGCTTGGCAGAGTTGCTGCTCAACCATATCACAAAGGTGAGTGTTATGAAATGCTCACCTCACACCCTGGCTCACATGTGTATCAGTTTTACGCTGCCAGCGAAACCAGCCATGAGCCTACCCTCATATGGTACCTGGAGCAGTTACTTCTCAAGATTCTCGTAACGAGCCCTTCTTGCCTCCTTCTCCCGGACGGTTGGCCCTCACATCTTCCGGTTCTCCAGCGTCTGGCTTTGAAATATCCAGATTCAAAAGCTCTGAGTACTGTGCAAGATCTTACCCGTAGAGCGAGGCGGTTAGGCCTGCACTCTCTCAACGATCATTCTGCGCATGTCCCTGCTCGTGAGATAATCTCTCTTCTTGATGCCGTGGATTATGCCTCCGACGTCAACGTTGATGTCCTCGCTAACCAATGCTGGGATTGTTTGTCTGACGCGCGTGACTTGGTCTCGATAACACTGCAGTGGGCGTCGTCCTGCCATCGAATAGGAATGCATCGGATCTACCTAGTTGCTCGCTTGCTTTGCAAATGGTGGCGCTCAGGTATCGACACCGACGACGCCATACTGACGTTTTTCCAATCTGCGAATTCCAGTATGGTCATTGAACCATGCAACATATACCGCATTGTCGCTGAGTTGGTCCGCTCAAAGACATTCTCTGTGGGAAGATATCTCCAATGGCTTATTTCTACTGGGTCTTTCAACCAGAATTGTGGTTTCACCTCAGTATGTTAGACATTTCTTGGAAGAAAGCACACACACTAACCCTTTGCCAGTCGTCGTTTTGTCCTATGCGTCTTATGGTGGAGATTCCCGTCAGCGGGCTTCCCGAACATGTGCGCAATCTGAGAAGTACTCTATTGCGCGGAACGCCTCATTCTACCGAGTCCGAGGAGGACCACCTAGATCAGGCAGAGTACACGATACGTTCCCGCCTGTGTGGACTCTTCGGGACAGGGGTCTGGAGCGACATCCAACCAGACATAGACCTAACTGAATTTACTCCCACCGTCCAACTCGAAATCGCGCTCTTTCTGCGGCATCACGTCGCCTCAAATGTCAGGACCAGCGAACCGGGGCACACCAATAACACCCTCGTCAACGGGGATTGCCCAGTGTCGACGATCACGCTACGAGACTTTCACCTAGTGCGATCCTATCTTGAAGAGTTTGGGCAGCTTTCTATTCTTGCCGATGTTATGGGGATCATGGTTACGTCTCTGGATTTTGATGTCCTTGCTGCCGCCGCTGACACACTGCATTACCACCATCTGGCCTTCAAGGCGATTGGTGCATTCAAAGCCCTGTTTGAGAGTATCATTCTCCGGTATTCAATGTTAAGGACATTCCGGACTCCGGAGCGAGACGTCCTTCTCGGTCTCACGAGATTATGCCATGCCACGCAAGTAGATGCTCGGGTCGCGCAACTTCTTGCCAGCGACTTAGGACGGTTGGAGCAACGGAACTCGATTTCTGCTTGCTCTCCGGTCTCTGATACCACAGCCGAGGCTATTCAGAACACGGCCGCCGAGTCTGACGAGGATATTGACCGTATTCTATGCAACAGTAGCACGTTGGATCAAGCGGCAATGACCGAAATGCTGAACAAGATTATGACCAATCTGTCAGAGCAAATCACTAAGCGTTCTCTGCAACCAAGCCAGCATGCCTCATGGCTTCATCGTCTACGTGTCCTGAATGAGGTGGCTTTCGACATTGCTATCATGGAATGGTTGAAGAACCAGTTTTTACAATACCGACAAATGCCCTCGATTCCTGCCGTCGCCGCACTCGTCACATCTGGTTGCCTGTCCTTCATGCAACTACTGAGAGTGGCAAGAGATTGCTTCGACGAGCAGCAACGCCATGACCCCGAGAGGGCTCACCGGATCCCGTTCGCTTTTTTTCACCTCATCGTGCCCACCGATCGGCTGACTCCATTCTGCCACTTCCACGAAGCTTATCGATTCCGACTTGAGCAACGAAGTTTTTGCCTTGCCCTACATGCCGAAGTCCTCCAGTTCCTAAGCGAGACTATACGTGCTGTGCAGGCGTCACCAGGTCCTGACGGAGAGGCACACTTGGAGTCGTTGCTCTTAAATTCAGAAGTACGGAACATACTGAAACAGTACATCCTAAGCGATGTCCAAGCAGTTTCACAAGCTTTCGGTATCAGTTCGTTCAAATCCGGAGACGTAGCAATCAGCTCTCCTTTGAAGGTTTTGCTGGACACTCTGCTCGACCCTTGCGACTGCCTTCGTACGTACTCCTTCCGGCTTGTTGGGAATGGATACTAACCTGTGGATCAGACTTGGCGAAGAAGAGCATCATGCAGCAAATCGAGCTAATACCCGAAGCCGTTGACGAGCTGTCTCTCCGCTTTTGCCAGCTTAAGATTCAGTGTCTCTTCTTCATGGCAACCGGTAGCACAGATTGCTCCCGTGACACATTGTCTAGTGCCTTCTTGACGGCAATCATTTCGGCCGCTCAAAAGAATGACTCTGCGTGCCTTGACCTCGTCGGCGGCTTAGAGCCTGACTTGGCTTTCAAGGTATGTATCGGCAGTAAGCCGATCGTAAAGCCTCCATTAACCATCGTCAGATACGTGAGTTCGCCGAACGCGAAGTACTCGGTGCAACATCGTTCCTTGCAAATCCTCTTACAACTGTTCTTGGCAACATACCCAAGGAAGAGGAGGCTCGAATTGAAAGATATCTTGCTATCATACGGACTACGTCGTCGAAACTGATCCGAGATGAACAGAGTCAGGCAATTGGACCTCTTGCAAATCGACTGAAAGGCCTAGCAGAGCTAATGGACAGACACAGCGATCACGGCACAAAGGTGATGAGCTCGGCTGAGCCTCCAAACTGTTGTGTAGCCATAGCGCAGTGGTATGCTCCTCGTCGACTTAAACCTGACCTAGTGCTGACTCTCAAGGCTTAACGTATTACTGCGCCTTGTCGTGGCGCAACGAGTCATGCTTCTTCACAAGGTCTCGAGCCAGCATCAAGCTGCTCTTATGTGGAGTCTGCGACGTGTTTTCACGCACCCAGCTTTGAACCTTCTTCCGTCGATGAGCGAATACACATTCGACGCGGCTTTGTTCATTTCCGATGCTCTCCCCGACGATGTCCGCCTGCAGCTTTCGAAGCTAAACATTGCCAAGACTCCTAGTGATTCTCGCTGCGTCTTTCTTTTCGAATGCTGCGCTACGAAAGATGGTTGGCTTGCTTTGGTCCGATCGACATTGGCATCGGGCGAGCCGGGCAGTATGCCGGGGACCTTCTCACCTCAACCCCAAAGCTCAATCCCTCAAACTCAATTGCAGTTCGAGAATGCCCTGCACGTACGCAGTGCGAATCCTGGCATGTTGCAGCGGCCGCAACATCATCAGCAATCCCAAATGCAAACCCAAAGTCACCCCCAAACCACCTCTAGGGGCTATTTCCAATATCCGCAACATCCTCAACAAAGCAAAACAGTGCCGCAAATTTCTCCTCCGAGTACAGCACCAGTACACGCTTCCCAACATGGACAGCTCCAGCAAATGCACAGGATTCAGCAGATGCAAGGTCTTACTGCACAACGCAATCTGCCACCCTCTCCTGCAAATACCCAAAGACACTTGAATGCCACTACGCATGCTGGGTTGCATGCTGGCAAGAGCGCGCCTTTGCAGTCGAAGCAAGAAAGTGGCGATACTGGGATGACGCCCTTTCTATTGAGCCCATGGGAAATTCTCCCCGAGGCAAGCGGTAACTCTAACCTTAACGAGACCGCCATCAGTTTGGGTCTGTTTGCGGCCCGAAAGCTATGAAATCGCGCTCTGGTTAGCATGCGGGGCGTCTGTCGTACTCTGCTGGTATTCTCCCGAGTGGTAAAGCGGTTTTTCTACTCTCTTACACCTTCGCATCCGGTTCATGGTGCATTTTGTGTTGGTCAGGCGGTTCATGGTGTGGGTTTCAGTGGGATCGGGATTAGACTAGGCGTTATGTGTTGTTTCACGGCATCGCATATTGGAGGTTGCATGATGATATAGAGTCTTTCCACATGATACCCAAAACTTGAAAGCAAGCAATTGGCGCGCATTCGGTATTACATGTTATGAAAGGTTGCGCTGGCAGCCTGCGAACTTAGAGTGAAGCTTAAGATATACTAGAGTTTCCTCGGCGTTGCATTGTCGCGAGCCACGAACCTGCTTGCAGTACTTGCATTACACATGGAATATGTTCAAGATGATGACGTCCGCCTGTCTTCGGTTCCTCTCCCACGGCTAGCTTCCATGCCCTTTCATTGTCATGGCTGGCCGTCCTGAGGATAGACCCACGCTCACCACATTTCCACTTACGCCCATTCATCGAACATGTCATCCAGCAGCCCGTTAGTCAACCCCTCTATCGGCTCTCCCTCCTTCGAAGCCGAAGTCGTCACCGTCACCATGCGGAATTCACCATTGCCCTGCGGATGCTCGTACTCGCTGGTGGGCATGTAGATGCCAGTTGCATCGTCCAACAGCGCCAGATTCGGCCTGGCCACCGTGAGATCTTCGTCCAGCAGGCCGTCGAAATAGGAGCGAGGGGCTGATTGGGAGAGGCGCGAGGGGTGCATTGGTTGGAGTGTTGTGGGGTGGCCGGATAGGGAGATGTAGCGAGTGGTTGAGTGTAAGTTGATTGACTGCAGTGAGGATGATGGTCAGTGATTGATTTTTTCGTGAGAGAATTGGGAGCAGGAGCGAAATGCTTACCTTTGAGTCGAAGTCTTGCAAGAATTCCTCGGCCTGGATGTCCGGGTCCGACTGGACGTATTCCTCAGCAATCTCTCTAGCCCGCTTGACGTGCTTATCCACGACCGCCAACGCGCCCATAGGAACATGTCTCTCGCACATCTTATCCTCAATCCGAAGCGGCTCGCCAACATATTTCCTCTCCCCCACCGCGACTTTAAACCCTGGACTATCCTTGAGGAAGAACTGCTGCCAGTGTGTCAGGCCAGGCTTGAATTTGCCGACTTTGTAGCTAGGCCTGGGCGAGAATAAGTCTCGGTGGGCGATCAAGTCGAGCTTGGCCGCCGGGTCGCGAGCGAGGATGACGCGATTGAGCAGGACCAGGATGGCTTCATATGTATCTGTGAAGTCCTCGGAGTGTTTGCAGCAGAGGACATCGTCTCTCCAGAAGTGGTGGGGCAGGACGGCCGCTTTCTGCAGGTGCTTGACGAGGTTCCACCACATGCGGCGCATGGATTCCGAGTCGTGGAGGAAGAAGTCGGCGAAGTAGTCGAGGAGTTTGGCGGCGGCGCTGAAGAATGTCTGGATGAATGAGGGGGTGCATTCGATGAGGGCGGGGGCTGGGAGATGTTTAGTTTTTTCTTTTTTTTTTTTGGATATCCTGGTGGAAGGAGTAGGAGTGATATACTTGTACGGCGGCTCAGGGGATTAAAGATGAAGTGCAGTTTCCCACGGCCAGCGTGATTTTTTAGGGTCTTGATTTGTTTCCACACCGCGCCGAAGTCGATTTCGTTATCGCCGCAGAGGTAGTGGGTTGCGAGTGGGCCGTCGTCCCAGTCCCATTCCCAGACGATGATTACGGGGGGTTTCTTTCTGGCTTCCATGTGATGGTGATGGTGAGTCGGGGTTGTTCAGTGCCACTGGTAGTAGGTTGGTTTTCGGGAATGTGGAGAGAGGGAGGCAGCGATGAAAAGAAGGTGAAGTGAGGGAGAGGACAAACGCGGCGCGCCCGTTTGGTGACTCGCTGAGCCCTTGGGGCACTCAAGCGCAGAGTGGCGAAAATATCATTCACTTCGTCTTTCACCATCACCCCAACCTCAGGATGGGAAAGTGTTCACCCGGCATAGCAAAAGCTGGGCCTTTCACCCGACCGTGGCCCTCTATAATCAGCTCAGTGGTGCTATTATCCATGGTATGTACACCATCAGCGCACTGTTGTTCGCAGGCAGGGAGGCCATACCCTGTGTAGACAGTGTTTGGAAGGTGAAAAGGTCGAAGCACGATAATCATCTATTGAGAGCAGGAAACGTAAGTCCCCAGTTTCAATCGCACCAGGTGGGGCTATGCGGATTATTGTTACTTAAACAAAGGCTACTATATTGCAGACCTCAATGCACGTAGCATGAAATCTTATGAGGTGGTGCACATGTAAGGCTGGCGGTCCGGGAATCGATCTGGTCTGTTGCCAGGCCAACCACCCGGCGGGGATGTTTACTAAGCACGCGACTCAAGCTCCCCACAGACCCGTTCGTTGCCTTCAGCGCGGACAACCCTATCATTCCTCAATCACATATTTACTCAACTCCAACCTACTACGTCTGGAGACAACTGCGATTTAACTCACCTTGTACGGCATCGGCGCCTGCATCAGAACCCCTCGAACACAGAATCATATTCACACCTCAACAACTTTCTCGCCCCTCGGCGCAAGACCGATCATGGTAGCCACACGAGCGGCATCCCGAAAACTTCAAACCGCCGTGGCTTCCCCTCCCCCGGCGAATACCCTCAAAGCGCCCCCGAAGCGAGCCACAAGGAAAAAGGCAGCGCCTCCAGCGGACACCGAGGCAGAATCCAAGCATGCTGCAAGCAAAACCACCAAGCCCACAACCAAGCACGAGCCCGTCCCCGCGCCAAAGTCTACATCCAGAACAACGAAGCCTACGAAGAGATCAGAGGCAGCGTCTGATCTCAGCAAGACTGCTCAGAAAGCGGAATCGGTGACGCGCACGAGGAGGACTACAGTCAAGGCTAAGCCAGAGGCGGGCAACAAGAAAGTAAACTCCGAAGCTGAACCTTCCCTAGAGGGTAGGCAGAATGTTCCGAAGCGAAAGACAACCACAAGAACGACAAGAACCAAGAAAGAAGTAGAACTTCCCCATCGCCCAACCAGGTCGACATCAAATAAGGCATCTTCCCGAAAGACCGTGGCAATCGCACCTCCTGATACTCAGCTTGGCAATACGAACAACGGGGATGATGATAGCGCACCCACGCCGAACATCCCCGAGGGAGCAACAGTGGAACAAGAGGCGGCATTACAACAGCCGGAGAGGCCAAGTGGACGAAGCTCAGTGACTTATGATGGTGCACCGGAGCAAGACGAACTGAGTATGGACGTGGAGAATCTTGTCCCCCAGCAACCAACCACCGCGTGCAGCGATGCTACGGAGCCAGAAGTTATAACAGCGGCTCACGACGATGAAGAGGAGAACGGGGGTCGTCCCGACGAGGAACCCGCTTGCACAGATCCAGAAGAACCTTCGAAGCGAGATGCGATTGATGACGGTGTCATTATTGCTGAGCAAGATGTCAACCTCCTTGCAGACGATGCCGCAAACCCAGACGCCGCCAGTAGTTTCGATGCCGCAGAGGAGGAACATATTGGGACCGAGGAATTTATAGCAACCAAGAATACGACGACCCCGAATGAAGTTGAGGGAACCAACGGACGCACGGACGAGGAAGGAGTCAGGCTGGAACAAGCAAGTGTTGAAGAGGGAAATGCAGCGGTCCGGCTATCCGGCGAGTCCGATACCTGGTCGATTGATTCTGCTGCCCAGACAGTTGTCACCTTGTGTGACTTGCCGGAAGGTGATGGCTCCACAGCAGATGCCCAATTAGTTCGAGAGGACGTAATTTGCCCCGAGAAGCTATTCTTGAACCCAGATACTGCACGAGAGACCCCAACATTGGAGCCGATGCCGTTGGAGGTCTCTAAATGCAATCATGAATCGAAAGCGGGCAAAGACGACGAATCATTGCGCCATCCCCCTTCCAGCCAGAGCCACAGTCTTCCCAAGGATGGAATAGGCGAAAATGCAGCCAGGAAGATGGCCTTGACTCACCTCCCACGGCCTGTGCTAGCAATCTCGGCAATCGCTGCCATGCCGCTATCAGAATCTCCCATCAAGTCAGCACTGCGCTCTCCAGTCAAGCTTGACACGAGCCCAAAGAAAAAGACAGTGACATTCAACGCGCCTCAAAGCCAGACTGTGGATACTTCACTGCTGGTTTCTGATGGTCCTCTCAGTGAGACCACCTTCTTCCTAGACATCCGCTCAAGGGGAAGGATTGAAAACCACGTGTTCGCTGGCTTGCTAGAAGACTTGGGAGCTCGAGTGATTTCCACATGGGAAAGCCATCGTCCAAACCCTACTCACGTTCTCTTCAAGGATGGCCTGCTGGAGACCCTGGAGAAAGTAGTGGCGACAAAGGGAGCAGTAAAATGCGTCAACGTCGGCTTCGCTCTGGACTGTGAGAAGCACAACAAAAGAATGGATGAATCGGACTATCTTGTCAACCTCGAGCCTGCCAGGCCGAAGACGCCTTCACCCATCAGGCGACGCTTTGCCTTCACACCGGCACGCACTCCCTCCCAGTTCTTTCACTCGCAGACGCCCAGCACTGTGCTCAGCACACCAACGACTCCCAATAGCTCCGAGTGGGAACGATCAATCATCTACGATGAATATGTGGATAAGGAAAATGCCACCTCTCTTTCGCCGCCCAAAGGAGCTCCGCGCTCATGCCCCCCTAAAAGGCAGGTCATGTCAAGTTGGCTAAAGCAAAGCCCAATCAAGCCGGCCACCGTCGTGCGACCGTTGGCTGCTTCCGCTCGCAAGCGCAGGTTCGAGAGTTTTGGTGGCATCACTATGGCTGCCCCGAAGAAACTTCGGTTCGACTAGGAATACTTCTTGGTATCTCCTTCTAGTTCTAGCATGGCGATGGCGTTCGGACACGGTCTGGTGGGCGATATCTTTCCTTTAGGCGAATGTGGCTTTTGTCGAGCGGATTGGGGTATGCATTGGTGTCGAATACTTTTGTCTTTTTTCTGAATATATATCGAGGTGTTGCAAACCGGTATATGCGGCCTGCGCTCCTGTTCGGCGGATGGACTGGAAACTTTTAGCCCCTCAGCTGAAGGTTTCAGTCGCGAGGATCTGTGGGTTCCTCTCGGGTGTTTATATTGGTACAGGCCAGTCGATGGATAATTCACTTAGTCGTGAAGTAAATAGCCTCATAAGCGTTCCACGAACAACCACGAGCGTATCGACAGAGCGTAAGTATGAACCTAGAATCTTGCCATCGTGATAAGCAGTGCAGAACCAGGATGAAACAAGGGAGTTAAAATCCGGACATGAGGAGAGGATCTGAGGACAAGTCGAAAGGAATCGACAACCTTCCCTGGCTTTAACCGCGTGAATACTCTCTTCCAAACCAGGCGCAATGCACATAGCCACTGGCGGATGATGAAAGCCTCAGTCAAGGCCCTGTTTATGGGTTTACCATCCGGATGGCGCTCAAGTCAGTAGCAACGAGATGTGGAGGATCCTTAAATCGTCGCGGTTATGAATGCTGTCATCGCCTTTACGGTATCGCCATCGACGGACCGCAGCAGCTCGGTTGCCTTTGCCTTTGAGATGTCGAGTTGGGAAACCTGGCACGTTAGTAACCCTACTAGATCCTACATTGCCCAAATGCGCAAAAAAGCCACTCCTCCCATCGCTTTACACCAGACAACTTAATGGATAACAACGACGTACAAGCAGTGTAACATCAGCAGGCTCAATCCTAATCGTCTTGTTCTTCTTCTCCGGACCCGCCTTCTCGGGACCCGCCTTACTGTTCTCCGTAACAGACAGGTTCTTCATCGCCTCGCCGAGCGCTTTCGGGTCGACGTCCTTCTTGCCTGCCGCGGAATCGTCGTCCGGGGCGTCGAGCGAGGACAGGGCGGCAGCGGCTTTGCGGTCTTCGGCTGTCGAGGTGGGTGCGTGCGGGCCGGAGGCGCCTTCGTGGATGGTCGGGGGTTGGGGTGATTCTGCCATGGTGATGTCGGAGGTTGGGATTTCAGGGATGGGGCTAAAAATATTAGGGTGAAGATGTCAGGTAAAGAATGGAGAACGTTGGTTGCCCTAGGGTTTCCTTATAGGAGGGATTGATCTCGAATGCTGGGTTGGGATGGGATGAGGTCTGAGCATCTCGTCATTTGTGGGGGAGGACGATCAGATGCCAAGGCGATTTCGGAGATTTTTGACCAATTGGTGAGAGGTGTGGCGCTCATTTCGAAGGTCTGTCTTCTTGAGTGCTTTGTGACTCTACAGAATAAAAGTACACTTTGACTGTTGGTAAGAGGGGGAGAGACACGGTTTCTCTAGAGACGTATTAATTCGACGGTAAGCCTAGATATTTTTGAACCATGTCAAGCCTGAAGTATTTTGTTGTTTTTCTCTTCTTTTTTTTCTTTTTCACGGTCACTCTTTTTCTCTGGTTTTGAAGCATAAAAACTCGTCGGTTGGTATCTATGTCAATAGCACTTCTTCTGCTTTCTGCGTTCGTCAATCACCCCTTCTCACAACTATTCACTGTGCATTCAACTTCTCGTTTGTGCCTTAATGTGTCATTCTTGCTCCCGATCATGTCGTGGCAGCAAGTTTCCAGAGGTTCCCGCGAAGTTCAATTACTGACTCAACCATTAGATCTGCAACCTCGCCAACTCAACGCGAAGACTACCAACACGAGCGTGACGAGCATAGAGGCAGCCAACATGGCATCCCAAGATACCGAATGGTCACCATCATGTACATAGCCCCTTGACCTTTCCAATCCCATCAGGCACCCCATTAACGACACCCCCACAGCCTGGCGCACCAAACCCATCAAACAAGTCGTCACCTACACGAACTCAGCAGCCGTCTCCTCTGCGCTGGCCAAACTCTCCAACCTCCCCCCCATCGTCACGCCCACCGAAATCATCAAACTGAAACGCAGCCTCCGCGACGCCGCGCTGGGGAAAGCCTTCCTCCTCCAAGGCGGCGACTGCGCCGAGCTCTTCTCCTACTGCGCCGACGCGCCCATCGACGCAAAGGTCAAACTGCTCCTCCAGATGAGCCTCGTCCTGATCTGGGGGTCCAACAAGCCCGTCATCCGGATCGGCCGGATGGCGGGGCAATTCGCGAAACCGCGCTCCAGCCCGACCGAAGTCGTCAACGGCAAGGAGATACCCAGCTTCCGAGGCGATATCCTGAACGGATTCGACCCTGAGGAGCGGGAGCCCGACCCGGATCGCCTCGTCGCCGCCTACTTCCACTCGGCGACGACGCTGAACTACGTCCGGGCGCAGCTGGGCAGCGGGTTCGCGGACCTGCACAACCCGATGGATTGGGAGCTGGGCCACGTGAGGGACCAGGAGCTCCAGGCCAAGTACGAGCGGATCGTGCATAGCATCTCCGACTCGTTGCGGTTCATGCGGACCGTCGGGGCGGATACGGCGGGCCAGTTGCAGACGGTGGATCTGTATACCAGCCACGAGGGCCTCGTGCTCGAGTACGAGCAGAATCTGACGAGACGGTTGAAACATCCGCCCGGTTACCGACCGGCTACGCCCTCGGCCGATGGCAAAGGGTGGTACAACACGTCGGCGCATTTCCTGTGGATTGGCGATCGCACGCGCCAGGTCGACGGCGCGCATGTCGAGTACTTCCGCGGCATCGAGAATCCCATTGGTATTAAAGTCGGGCCGAGCATGGGATCCGATGAGCTGGTGCGGCTGCTCGATATTGTCAATCCTTCCAAGGAGGTCGGCAAGGTCACGCTGATTACGCGTTATGGCGCTGATAAGGTCGAGGCGATGCTGGGACCGCATATTGAGGCGGTGAAAGGGAGCGGGCACGTTGTCGTTTGGCAGTGTGATCCCATGCATGGGTAGGTTTAATATCTCAACGTTTGGACCGTTGGACTCATAGAAGCTAACATCTATACAGCAACACCCGCACCACCGCCACCGGCATCAAGACACGCGAATTCAGCAGCATCTTCTCGGAGCTCTCGTCGGCCCTCAAGGTGCACAAGCAGCATGGCTCGTTCCTGGGCGGGATGCACCTGGAGTTGACGGGAGAGGCCGTCACCGAGTGCACGGGCGGCAGTGTTGAATTGGGCGATGAAGACTTGAGCTTGAATTATACGTCTTACTGCGACCCGAGGTTGAACGAAAAGCAGGCGCTGGAGCTGGCGTTCCTGGTGGCGGGGCATTATAGGGAGGATAGGGATCTCTAAGCAGGATGATGCTGGAATTCCCCCTCACAAAACAACCTATATGTATACCAGTTCTCAATGTCAAAAGATACCAGCATCAATGAACTGCTATAATACTAAACAGACGATAAACATAAACTTGGTCTTAGAACAGGTCCGTATCTCTGTATACGTATCTGCAATCCTCTGATTGGCCAGCCCTCAGCAACGTGGCCCAAGCTTCCCTCGATTCCAGAGACTGCTTTTTCGATCCAACTGTGCTACATATTATTGACGTCTTTCCAAGGTTGCTCGGGACTTCCATTCCTCCCCACAACGCCTCCTCTCCTCCTTCGACCCTACAGTAGAAATCTACACACAATGGGCTCCTCAGCATCAAAAGGAGCGCGTGCAGCCGGCTCCGCCGCCCGCAAATACCCAACCCGTGTCCCCTCCTCGACCACCCGTGCTCCCCCTCCCGCTCCCGCTCCTCCGAACACTACTCCCTCACAAGCCAGCCAAGCTGCTCCTGCTCAATCCGCACCGCAGACCAACCCCCAGAAAAATAACCGTACGTCCAAATCAACCCCCGCAGATCCATCCAACAGTCCAGTATTCTAATCCCCTCTCTCACAATAGCAATCGACCTCGAAGGCCCCGACCCGGGCCTCGCCGCCCGCCTCCAAAGCATCGGCGCCGTCCAACCCAACCCCCACTACTCGCCCTCGTCGATGTCGAGCCTGGACCCCCGCCGTGGCAGCACTTCGGCGGATATCCCCTTCGACATGGCCGAGGCGCCGCCGCACCATTCGTTCCCGAACCCGCGAGATAATCCGGCGTTGAGAGTGCTAGAGGCACGGCAGCGGATCCAGGACCAAGTCGACCAGGAGCAGGAGAACAGCAACAGGAAGGGCTTCCAGGGGAGAAGTCACATTGACGCGGGCACCATCCAATTGGCGCTCATGCGGCAGAAACGCGGCGAGCCCGACTCACGCATTGAGGCGGCGTTCGGACTGAAGAAGGGACGATTGGCTGTTCTAAAAAGGGGGGTTGTGGAAACCGTACAAGACGAATAGCGTACATTGAGTTTTGTAAGATACCCGAGTTACGCATGTTGGCAGAGCGGTTTTGGCCGATGAGGCCGTAGATGAGGAAACCGACACGAAAGAGAAACGCCGACCAGCCCAATTTCCGAATATCCAAGTTCCCGTTCCCGCGATGTTCGCCGATGCGATGCAACCCGAACGCCTGCGTTCCGATGACAAAGGAAATATGCAACAAAAACCGTCAATGGCCGTTAGAACTCCTTGCGCTCATGAATAAAGTTGTTCAACGCCGTAATCGCCTCGATCAGACTTTGCCGGTCGATGTCGATGCCGTCGCCCCCGTCGCCGCCGACCTTGATCCTGCCGTCCATCTTCATCTTTCCCGGTCGCCAAGTACGTAATATCCGCCAGCGCGATCGCGTTGTGTTGAAGGCTGGGCATGAGGGGGCGATGTCTTCCTTTTCTCGCAGGACTTGGAGGGCGTTGAGGACGTTGAGGAAGATGCTGGCGAGGCTGTTAGCGACAGGATACTTTGTATACAACATGCGACGTGGATGACGAGGGAAAAGGAAACCCGGAAACATACCGCTGGGTCAGCTTGATATCGTGGCTCCAGGTGTATGCGGCGTTCTTGAACGAGTTGCCCTGGGCGACAATGTCGAGGAAGATGAACAGGCTCTCCTCGACGCTGATGTCCTCGTCGTGAGTGCTCGACTCTGCATTCTCGAGAATCCAGTCGGCGAGCTGGACGAAGGTGAACTGATCCATGTGGCAGAAGTCGTTGAAACGGTCGGGGATGCCGTTGAGGAGCCAGCGGGCTCGGTCGGCGCCGGCGCTGCCGTGTACGGCCATGGTCGAAGAGGCTTTCGGAGGAGGGATGCGGAGGGAGGGCTAATTCGTTATGCAGAGAGTGTAAAGTAGTCGTCGATGGAAAGATGGGATGGCTGGCGAGGCTGTGGTCAACAGGTCGTCGGTCGGAGTCGGCGTTAGAGAGCGGATGTGGATGGATCTGATGGATGAACTGCGATGGGCTGACAAGACAGACGACGGCTTGGCCAACAACAGCGAAAGCAAACCCTCTCTCTCCACGGAAAAACACACGAAATAAGGATAGGAATGGGAAATAATAATTGTCTGGTTTACAGGGCTTCTCAAAGAAAGGGAAAGGACGGAGTTTCTGACTCTGGAGAGTGAGTCGGCTTGTGACGAGGCTTTGCTGGCAGGGCAGGTTGGCAGCTGAAAAGAGGGTGGGTGGGGCTTCCCGGCGTTCAGTGCCTTTTCCTTCCCGTTGTGGAACTGACATGTGAAAGTGGGCAGGCACGCAACGGCATTGGATGACATCAGGGCAGCCAATCAGGGACCGGGAAAGCGAGACGATGCGCCGGGCTTGGATAAAGCGGCCCGCCGGTAAAAGCGATGCTTCGGGTTAGGCGCGAGAACGATCAGAAGGATTATGAGCCGAACGTTGTTTCGGCTTGATGCTCCCTTCTAATCGAGGGTCTTGGAAACTTGGAACGCGGTTTTGGTTGCGTCATGAGTGTGGAAAAGAAATCGGCAATCCAATCTCGTTATTCCTTTGCTAATCTACTGCTTTTGAAGAAAGTCGCCGTTCCCTTCTTCGGACAATGGGGTCGCTGACACGTCGAACAAGGAGGGACCTGGGTTGCGGAGCGGGAGTATTCAGCTCATGATACCAGTGCTGGTACTGTAGTACACAGTAGAGGAGGCTTCGGTGCTGATGTGTCTCATTACTATTGGAGTCTGACTGTCTGACCGTCTGACTCCGGTCTCTACTGCGCTCTCGTGGTTTTCACATGTCTGTATACAGTACTCTGTACTGCGCGGATTAGATTTTCACAGTACTGTATGTGCGGAGTAGAGAGTGTGGAATGTGCTCTGTTTGCTTCGCATCGCGCGCCTACAGTGTCCGCGAAAGCGGTTTGACCTGCGTGAGAGAGGGGGTTTGTAGCACCACTAGTCTATAGATAATGTAGTCACGGTTCTATGCATACATCGATGGCATACATTCGCACGCGGCATAAATGTCAAATCATCCCATCATACGTTCTCTCTTCACTATCACAAGCTTTTAGGACAATCATCGCAAGTGCGCAGACGCAGTCAGTCTATAGGGAAGACGAGGTACATAGAGGATCTAGGCAAAGAAGGGGTGAGTGGGTTACACACATCAATTACGCTCCAGCGAAACGTAACCAGACCCCTCTACAGCTACTGACGATGGTCTACCATCTCCGCATCCGGCATCACACGCAGCTCACCTGATCCTGCGTATACGGGGAACACAAGATAGTCCACGTTATTCCTATTGTGCTTCCGTCCATGCCGATTCCCGAATACTGAGGACCAGGATGTCATGCTAAATGAAAAAGCAGTAGCAATGCACACTCTAGACAAACAGCTGTCATGATGCACATGGCAATCTCCGTTTCAGCGTGTGTGATGCTGACCTATCTAGTATTTAGCGCATCAAGAGTGGCCAAACCATCCATGTGCTGGTCCCAGGACAAGAAAAACGTCAAAGGCCTAATGGCACACGTCATGGAAACAGCGAATTCTGGAGTCCACGATGAGTGAGCATGCATGCCATGACAAGGGATACGGCAGAGCGAGACATCATGTACCCATCTATGCAGTCCAACAAAAACATCTAGCGAAACGCAAATACGAACAATGTGAAAGAGCAGAACGAACACGCAACCAGCACCCAACCGAGAATGAAAAGGTGTTGATAACCCATGATGAACTGAACCCCCATGTACACCCTACGTGCCAGAAAACACACGCCAAAACAAGCAAAATATACTACACATGTCGACAACCCCCTACTCCCACATTCCCCTCAAACCTTAACCCATCTACCGTCTCTCCACCAACAGCAAATGCATCGCCACATAAGCCAACACCACAAAACAGCCCCCAAACACCGCCAACCCCACACAATCCCTCCACAGCGCCAGCACATCGAACCCGAAACTGCTCAGGATCGCGCTCCCGGGCACCTCAATATCGAGCCCGTACTTGTGATCAATGAGGCTCAGGTACTTGACTTCGTTGACAATGAGCCCCTCGAACGCGTAGTGGAATATCGACAGGCTCTGCAGCCACTTGGCCGTCGGCGGGATGCTGTCCTTGTTGAGGAGGAAGCCCGAGAAGAGGAGCGAGAAGAGCATCACCAGTACGCCAAAGAGGTTCGCGACCCCGCCGTTGGCGAAGACGATGCCGATGAAGAGGAAGATGGCCGCGGCGGCGAGGTTGAAGAGCACGAGGAAGAGGATGAATTTGAGGAACTGTGGCCACGCAGGGACGAGACCCGTCATCGGGTACACGATGACGCCGAGGATGATTGGCGGAATCAGGCGCAGCGGAACGATGTCGAAGATGACTTTGGCTGCGAAGTAGGATATAGGGCTATAATAACCTTTTGCACGTTCGCGGGTGAAGAGGAGGCGCTCGGGCCCGAACACGGTGAGAATGGTGAGAGTGCCGAAGCCGAAGAGGGCGAGGACGAAGATGAAGAGCCCCAGACGGTTTTGGAAGCCTTTGATGTCATCGGTCAGGCCGTAGAAGAGGAAGCCGAGGAAGACGGCGAGGACAATGGCGATGGCATAGTGCGTGAGCATGAGCATGGGGTTGCGGTACAGGTTGCGCCAGGTGCGCTTTGAGAGGATGATGAACTGCCCCAGAACTCCGACCTTCCTGAATCCCTTCAGTTTGCCGGATGCCACATATCCATTCGCACTTTGCTCGTCGGAGCTATCTCCACTGGCTTCCCGTGCTCTTGTCCTTGAATTGGCGATATCGTCCCGTAGAGCAGCGGCAACATCAGATGCCGCATATGCGGAGACAAGAGTGTCAAGGTTCGTTCCGGTCCCGCCGTCCGCTGGAGGTGGGAGCTCATCAGGATCCTCAAGTATCTGGGGAGGAGGTGCGCCTGATTGACGAGAAAGTTTTAGCCACTGCGCATTCAGACTCTCTTGGCGGTCAAAGGGAACACTTTCATCGTCCGTCTTGGGGCTCACCATACCATCTGAAGCGCCCGTGGCCTTTTTGCGAGTGAACAGCTCGCGTTCCTGCTGCTGCCGGATTGAGGCTTTTCGCTTGCTTTTCGGGCGGAAACTTGCTGAAGTGCTGGCGGTAGGACTTCCGGGCGCCTCACGTTCGATGGTGCTGCTTCTGATGCTCGGGATCGACTTGACTGCGATGGCACTGCTGGAGCTGGTCTGCAAGCCCTCTCTACTAAAAAGAGAGGTGTCTTCGTCAATCGGGCGTTGCCTGACATTGCTCGCGTGCATGGTCAAATCAACGAGATAGTCCGCGATGTTGAAACCTGGGGGGCAGGTGTAGCCAATGTTGTCAAAGTATGGTTGACAGCTTTCAAACGGGCCGGAATACACGGTCCTGCCTTTGGCGAGCAGGATTAGGTGGTCGAAGAGCGCAACAATGTTAGAACGCGGCTGGTGGATGGTGAAGATGACGGTCCTGTTGTAGTTCTTGACCAAGTGGACCAGACACTCCACGACGTTAAAGGCATTGTAGGCATCCAGCCCACTGGTGGGTTCGTCCAAAAAGAGAATACTAGGCGAAGTCACAAGCTCGCAGGCGATGCCAACACGACGTTTCTCTCCACCAGAGATGCCGCGTCCGCTCTCCTCGGAGCCAATTGTCTGATGCCGGATGTGATAGATTCCCAGTTGTCGTTCCACGTCTTCTACTCTTTGCTCCTTCGACGCACGGCTCATCTCTTTGGGCAGACGGAGCAGCGCAGAATCCAGGATCGTCTCATGGACGGTGAGTGTCGGCAGAAGGGTGTCGTCCTGATCAACAAAGCCAATAACACTCCTGAACTCGTCGTCCCGGACCTTTTCGCCGTTGAGGTAGAAGTCGCCACCGACAATTCCAGACTTGTTCTTCCGTGCGAGGATATCCAGAAAGGTTGTCTTTCCGGCGCCGGAAGCACCCATGATGGCTAGTAGCTCGCCAGGATGCACAGCGCCCGAGATGCCAGAGAGAATTTGGCGGCCTTTGAGTGCGTAAAAAACGTTTTCGAACGACAAGGCCGCCGGTTTGTGATCGGCTAGAAGTTTGGCATTCTCCTCCTCTTCGTCATCGGAGAGGTGGATTGCACCCCATCGCCTTTGCTCTGCTCGCCGTGACAGGTAGTAGATGACCAGTACTGCCGCGACTACGAACAGAGCACACCCGGCGATGACTCCAGCAATCAAGGGCGTATTTATAGTCTTGACAGGCCTCTCGTAACCAGGTACCTCGGTCTCATAGAGACACTCTCCGGAGATACAGTTCAGGAAGATGCTCTCGTCGCCAAAGACACTCGAAATGAGGTCATTCATAGCCGGTTCCGAGAATATGGTGCCACTGTCTTTGGCTTTTTCCGCAGCAACCGACTTGAAGCTGGCCGGCCCCTTGATCTCTTCTTTCAAGAAATCGCCTATATCTATGGACCCTGCCTCGCCGCACAGCATCCTGCCCGGCACACAAGAGCACTTGATATGTTCGCAAACGTATTCGGTGGTGTTTCGGTCACTCTCCGCCTTCCATGATGCTGAACAGTTGTCCAGAGCGCAGTAGAAGGATTCCCTTTGGTCAACCCAGACTGGTCATGTCAGCCGATGCATCCAAGAGAGCTGCAGAAGCCTACATTGGAAGTTACATTCCCCTGTCTCCTTGGTGCAGGAGAAGGTCGCCTGTGGTTTCTTCTCCTTGAGCTGATCCAAAATCTTCCGGTTCGTGATGTCACACATTTGGAAGTTCTCGTTGACCAACTGTCCGTCCTGGTAACAGACACCACCCTCGCCCTCCGGCATGAGGGCATTGCATGCCTGATTTGTTCGGCATACATTGCAGTTTATGCCTTCCCATCCCTCACTGCACTGGCAGTACTTCTCCTTCCCCCTGGGAGCTCGGTTGCGACCATCCGGTAGCGCGCCGCAGAGGGGTTCCGAGCAGTCCTCTCCTCCAAAGCCCGGCGGACAGTTGCATTTCCCGTTCGCCTTGCTGCACTCGGCGAACTGGTGGCATTTGAAGTCATCTAGGTTGCAGTTGAAGCATGGTGGACATCCGTCGGGCCGGTCGTCATATATTGAGAAGGGGTTCTCTGGTACATCGATGGCGGAGTAGTTGCGGTAGGTTCTGTATGCTGCTGAGGGCGCCGTTAATAGCACGGAAGCCAGCAGCGATACAGTCCATGACGTGCGTCGCATGGCGGAGCTGCACAGGCGGCAGTCGGCCGGGTGGCCAGGAGGAGGGAGCTATGGCGCAGCTTCGCAAGCTCAACTGTACGGTCCCAGGGCGCTGTTATGGAAAAAGAGGGCTGCGGACGTTCAGAGCATGTATGAAGCTGTATAGTATGCGTCGCGACAGTGTCCTGGGAGCTTCGAAGGCGTAATGATGGTGAGTTGCCGAAGGTAGATTGCGGGGTGGCTGGTTGGCCGTGATGGATGATGGATGGCACGCACCGCCCGCCAAGCCACAGCGGCCCAGTTCCTGGGGCCGCGCGCCGCCGAGCCGGTGCAAGTTGTTGGAGGATCCACGTTTGGGGGTCATTGCAGCTCTGTTTCTTCGAAGGAACGTAAGAAGATGAAGAAATGTCGGCTTCACCACAATTGTAGTACTGCGGGAAGGCTCGCAGGACCATTGAGCTTTCCCACGTCGGACAGGGGTGCCGAGGTCCCGTTCACCGGCTAGACGACGCTAACCCCGTATGGGCTATCCCCACCACGCCCTTCAGTGGAACTGAGTTGCTGGCCTTCGATGGCCGTCCTCTGCGAAAAACTACATCATTCAGCTCAGTGTCAGGTACGGTCCCTGTGCTGCTATAAACTGACCTAGTAACTCCAAAATGGTCAACATTCATCCTTTCGGCGTGGAAGCGGTTCGTCCAACATTTCTTCATCTATATCAATCATGTGTGTTCATGATCTACTGATGCACGCTTATTCTTACCTGTATTGAAGATACTGACTTCATCAGTGGATGGACAAGTATGAGAACCACTGCAAATACAACATTGCCGAAACCTGCTGTGCGTCCATCTCCCTGGACCAACTCCAGGAGCTTTCCGAAGACAAGGGCCGACCACTCCTCCAGACAGCTAAGACCTTGAACTATGGCGCCATCCGCGGCTCCGACGCCCTTCGCGAGAACCTCGCTCGTCTCTACTCTGCAAAGGGAAACATCTTGTCACCAGAGCGCATCGTGACGACGCCAGGCGCAATATCCGCCAACTACCTGTGTGCCTATGCTCTCGTCGGTGCTGGCGACCATGTCATTTGTCACTATCCTACATGTATCCCTCCAACCCTCCTGGGCCGTCGTAGTATACTGATGTGTGAAGACCAGTCGCTGTACGAAGTCCCTAGACAGCTCGGAGCCGAAGTCGACCTCTGGAGAGCAAAGCCTGAAGAGGGTTGGGCGCTCCAAATAGAGGACCTCAAGCGCCTAATCAAGCCAAACACAAAGCTTATCATAATTAACAACCCGCAAAATCCCACCGGCGCAGTCCTGAAGAAGTCCGTCCTTCAAGGCATTATTGATGTTGCAGCCGAACACGATATCACGATCATGAGCGACGAGGTGTACCGGCCCCTTTTCCACTCCATCAATCCAATTGACAGCGAGTTTCCTCCCTCATTGATTTCAATGGGTTACAAAAAGGCGGTGGTGACTGGCTCCATGTCGAAAGCCTACGCTTTAGCTGGAATTCGTGTAGGTTGGGTAGCCTCCCGTGATCCTGAGATTGTGGAACGAATTGCCGAAGCGAGACATTACACGACCATCAGCGTGAGCCAGCTTGACGAGCAGGTCGCTGCGTATGCGCTCCATCCCAACACGGTGCACAGTCTACTCGCACGCAATATCCAACTGGCGAAGACAAATCTGGCACTGATGGAGCGGTTCATGATCAAGAACGACGACGCATGCGAATGGGTAAAACCCCTCGCCGGCACCACGGCATTTGTGAAGGTGCACCGCGAGGGCAAGCCTGTGGATTCGGTCGATTTCTGCGAGAAGCTGCTTGAGAAGACGGGCGTCATGTTCGTGCCTGGAAGCCAATGCTTCGGAGAGGAGTTTAAGGGATACGTGCGGATAGGATTTGTCAATCATACAGAGACGGTGAAGGAGGGCTTGGATAAGGCCACACAGTTTATCAGGAAGAACCTGGATGACGTGAAGCTTGCGGAATAGAACTCTCAACAAGACCCTGACGACTATCTCGACGCAAGTCTGTACTTGCTAAAGCAAGGCGGGAGAAGGTCAGAGCCTACGGTCTAGTTGGCCAACCCTCCATCATGCCTCAGGCTCACTCAAGCTCGTCGTAATACTTTTCTATATATTATCACGTCCACAGTTGACCGCTCTGGTGGCTAGACGCGTTAGACGCGCCAACCCATGCCAGCCCCGCCCAACTGCATCAAAGCTCCCCAAAAACGTCATCAAGCATTGTCCACTCCAAAAGCTCTCCGCCTTCAATTCTTCAGCAAATCAGCACTCAACCGCCTTATAATGATCCCGAAGAGCATATAGCTTTTTATTGATTAGGTGCCTTTCTCCTCGTACCTCCTTCGCTTTGTTCCCAGGATCTAGGAACGTCGCCCCCGCCGCCCATAGACTCCTCGGCACTATGCGTGCGTTCTTGTCGGGTTCGAGGACTATTGCAAGACAACAGTGTTACAGGAGCAGATTTCAAAGGACCGATTTACCAGTCTTCGCAAAGAGAACCTATGCAATGGGTCATTCGGTGCCTCCTGTGAGTTTATAGAGCCCGTTATCACGGAACTGCACATCGGCTAACTCACACCAGCTGAAGGACCGGTCGCTCCTCAAGAATCAATGTTACGTGAACGGCGAATGGGTAGACGCAAAGTCAGGCAAGACCTTTGAGGTCACCGGTACGGCATATCATTGTATCACAATCCAAACACTGCTAACTACTCCCAAACCCCGCAACTGGCAAAGTCATAGGCACGATGCCTGAGATGGACCGCTCTGACGCAGAAGCCGCCATCGCCGCCGCCGCTGCAGCATTTCCTTCCTTCCGCAAAACAACCGGCCGCGAGCGCGCTCGCATGCTGCGAAAATGGTACCAGCTGATGATCGACAATGCCGACGATCTGGCGAAGCTGATAACGTGGGAGAACGGGAAGCCGCTGGCTGATGCGAAGGGCGAAGTTACGTACGCGGCGAACTTCTTTGAGTGGTTCTCGGAGGAAGCGCCTAGGATCTATGGAGCGACGATTCCGGCTACCGTGGCGGGAAATAGAGTGTTTACGATCAAGGAGCCTGTGGGTGTGTGTGGGCTTATTACACCGTGAGTGTTCATCGTGGAGAAGATGTATGCTCACGATTTCTGATTTTTTCAAGATGGAACTTCCCTGCCGCCATGGTGACCCGCAAAATCGGCCCAGCACTGGCAGCAGGCTGCACCGTCGTTGCCAAATCCCCCGGCGAGACCCCTTTCACAGCCGCCGCCCTCGCAGAACTGGCTCACCGAGCCGGCATTCCCAAGGGCGTGGTCAACTTCATCACCGCGCTCGAAAACACTCCGGAAATCGGCAAAACCATCACCGGCTCCAAAACCGTCAAGAAGGTCTCCTTCACAGGCTCTACGCCCGTTGGCAAACTGCTTATGAAAGATTCCGCCGATACCCTGAAGAAGCTCTCCTTCGAACTAGGCGGCAACGCCCCCTTCATCGTCTTCGACGACGCGGACCTCGACGCCGCCGTCGCGGGAGCCATAGCCTCCAAATTCCGCTCCTCGGGGCAGACGTGCGTCTGCGCGAACAGGATATATGTCCAGTCGGGGATCTACGACGCCTTCGCCACCGCCTTCACCGAGAAAGTCAAGGGCTTCAAGGTCGGCGGGGGCTATGATGAGGGCGTTACTCATGGCCCTGTCATCCATGACCGCGCTGTCGACAAGGTCCAGCGACATGTGGACGATGCAGTCAAGCAGGGCGGGAAGGTCCTCATCGGAGGGCAGAAGATGCCGGATTTGGGGTCGAACTTCTTCCAGCCAACCGTTATCCGCGACATGACTGCCGACATGGCTCTGGCGCATGAAGAAACTTTCGGCCCTGTAGCGGGCCTGTTCAGATTTGACACAGAAGCCGAGGTCGTGAAGTTGGCGAACGCAGCGGACGTAGGTCTCGCGGGATACTTCTTCAGCAGGAACGTGCAGCGGATTTACCGGGTAGCGGAGGCTTTGGAGGTGGGTATGGTGGGCGTGAATACGGGGTTGATAAGTGATCCCGCGTCACCGTTCGGAGGGGTCAAGGAGAGCGGTTTCGGGAGGGAGGGGAGTTTCTTGGGGGTGGAGGAGTATATAGTTACGAAGACGGTGACGTTGGGAGGGAATGGGGAGCCGCTTCAGGGGGCGGCGTGAGCGAGGAGATGCTAGAGGGTGTATAGAGGGATGCGTGACTAGTGGCTTCGATGTTGATGAATTCATTTACTGTACTGAATGTGTTTTGACTTGGAGGCCACAAGGGGCTGTCGCATCTCGCTCAAGATAGCCTGATGTTATTTTGCATCAGAACCAATCTTGGTCAAACGGTACTACCTCTCCTTGACCGTCATCAGCAGGACTGGATGCGCTTCCGTCTGTTCACCACAGTCTGAATTGCTTGAACCAAACCGACTATTGAGATCGCTCAACAGAACCTCGTCCACCTGTAACGAAGTGGGTTTTGGAAAGACTGTACATATGTTGTTAGTATTACCTAATGGTTCAGGGGCCGTTGTTTTGGCCCTGTCAAGAGGATCTATCGCTCAAACCGGAAGGCGGGATCTATGATGCACTGCTTGAGGTTCTGCCGAGGTCAGGCCGGATAAGGACTCGATAAGCGGGGAAGCGGACTTCGTTTGAAAGTGACTTCGCAGAATTCGAAGAATGTTTAGGCAGGCTCGTGTTGATGAGTCCTTCCTGTTCCTCTAATCTGTTGTTCTGTTTCTCTTTTGGATGCCCAGTTCGTTATGAGCACGTCATTGAAGAACAGCATCAGCGAAACTTCGCCTTTACTGCAGAATGCCGGGCCTGAAAGTTATAATGGAGAGCAGAACGATGTCGAGAGGCAGAGAAGACAAAGCGATGCTTCCAAACATCAGGGGATGCCAGACATTAAGAGGCGGATGAAGTACATTTTTCCTGCTTTAGCTATCGGTGTATGTTTCGCAAAGCCTCCTAGGCATGCAATTCCTTCGCTCATTCACTCGACAGGTATTCCTCGCAGCCGCAGACCAAACTCTCGTAGTCTCGACGTACGGAACAATTGGGACTGATCTCCACGCTCTCAATAGCACGTCCTGGATAGCCACCGCGTATTTCCTCACCCTCGCCGCGTTCCAACCTGTCTACGGGAAGCTCTCCGATATCTTTGGTCGTAAGGAATGTCTCCTATTCGCATACGTTATATTCGGCGTTGGTTCCTTCTGCTGTGGACTGGCTCGGAATATGAGCGAGTTAATAGCGGCAAGGGCGTTTGCTGGCATTGGTGGTGGTGGCATGACAACCGTTGTCAGCATTCTGCTAAGCGATGTTGTATCTTTGAGAGAACGAGGCACATGGCAAGGCTACATCAACCTCGTATATGCCGGTGGAGCGGCGGCGGGTGCACCACTTGGAGGCCTGCTGGCCGACAGCGTGGGATGGCGTTGGTCCTTCATTGCTCAGGGGCCCCTATGCGCTGTTGCTTTCGTAGCAGTGTCAGCTGTGCTCCATCTCCCCAAACAAAACCACTCGCACTGGGTTGAGAAAGTCATGAAAATCGACTTTATCGGCGCATTGACCCTTGTCACGGCGGTATCCGGACTCCTCATCGGGTTGGATCGAGGATCCAATGTCTCATGGAGCGACGGCATCACCATTGCTGCCCTAGGTACAACGCCTCTCTTCGTCGTCTTCGTTCTTGTCGAGAAATACATTGCCAGTCACCCTTTTGCTCCATTTCGAATCATCCTCAATCGGTCACTTTTCGCCTGTTACCTCTGCAATTTCTTCAGTTTTGGAGGCTGGTTAGCGTCACTGTTTTTCATTCCGCTCTACTGGCAAGTTCGATGGGATCTCAGCGCTTCTCAAGCCGGACTACACCTCGTGCCCGCCATCTTGTCCGGAGTGTCGGGTTCCCTGCTCGGCGGAATCTACATGCAGCGCACAGGGCGCTACTACTGGATTACCGTCATCGCCTACACGAACCTCGTGATCGGCCTAGTCGTTATCCTCCTCTTCTCCGGCGCGCTCATGGAGAGCAAGCTCTTCATGATCCTAGGAACCTGCCTCTGCGCCTTCTCCAACGGCATCGGCGTCACCACCACGCTAATCGGCCTCATAGCCAACGCCTCGCACTCCGACCAAGCCGTCGCAACCGCGTGCTCGTACCTCTTCCGCTCGCTGGGATCTGTGTTTGGGATTTCCATGTGCGCCACGGCGTTTAATCAGATGCTGAGGAAGTCGTTGCAGGCTGCGCTGGGGGGTGGTGAGGATGCGGAGGAGATTGCGGACAGGGTGAGGGAGTCGTTGGAGTATTTCAGGGGGTTGGAACCGGAGGTGAGGGAGGTGGTTATGGAGTGTTATGGGAGGAGTACGAGGGCGGCTTTGGGGGTGGGGGTTGTGTTGGTTGCGGGGAGTGCGGTCTTTGCGTGGTTTATTCGGGAGAAGAGGTTGATCAGGTGATAACTGGGTATGAAGATGCAGCACCATGACCAATAAGTCGCCAGGAGGCGACGCTACTGCCTACTGTTGAGATCAAGAGTATGTGACTTGTGAGCCGTCGGCGGCCCCAACCCGCCTCCTGCCCGGCAGACACCTAGTAAGTAGGAGTTTTAAGCTGGGCCATTACTAGTAACTGTTGTTAGGCCGAGTCAAGAAAGCAGCAACGAGCTGGAGCAGCTGAGGCTTAATGCGGAGCTGTTCATCTAACACATAATACTATGCATGAACACGGCGAGGCGACACCCGCTGCATACTGTAGATGCCACCCCACTTCCTTCCATCCATTTGTCTGCCTTGCAGCCTTGCCTACCGGCGCTTTCCACGTTCAATTAAACGGCTTGAGAGTAACAGACGACGCGCCTTTATCTGGATGTAATGAGTTTTCAAACCGCATTTGTATGACAGGTAAATATTGCCACGGGAGGATTGAATTGCGCTGTTGAGGTGATGTAACTTGGGACGGCGGAAGCGAAAGGGTTCTTCAGCCGGATGTAAAATCAGGTAGTACCTATGTACCTTCCAGCCTTGCTCATCTTCCCCGCCTTGAGTCCACCTTCCAGCCTTGTCGCGCATGAGTCGTTCTATTGTCACTTCGTTTTCCTGGCATTTCAACGCCGTGTTCATTCCTCACATCGATACCAGCCCGGACAGTGGCAATCAGGCTTACTTCAAAGCGCCCGCCTGGACACCGGGATGCATTGTCTCAGGACTTGAATGTATTCCTGTTACTTGTGCTGCAATACAACGTGGAGCAAGGCTGAGTTTGAACACCTTAACAACATCCCTTCAACTGCCCGAGTCCCGCTACTTCTGCGGATTTGGCGGTCTTGGATAAGCTGAGCATGATTTCGGCATGGCTGAGCCGGTCTCTATCATCGCGTCCGCGATTACTGTCGGGGTAACAGCTGCTCAGCTTTCATTTACACTTTTCAACGTTGCTCAGACCTTCAAGAACGCTCGAGCAGAAATCAGCGAGATAGCTCATGAGCTATCTGGGCTCTCTCAAACTCTGGAGACGCTGGGAGATCTACTACAGGCGTATCAACCTGTGTGCAAACCTGCACTCTTTAGGCAGGTGCTCTCTATTCTCACTCGTTTCAAGGAAGTCGAAGAGAAGTTGAAGAAGAAACTATACAATCCCAGGCCCTTGAGGCGGTTGCGGTGGTTCTTTAATGCACCGGTGGCAAAAACGCTACTCAAGAAGGTGGAGAGCATCAAGACATCGTTGACCCTGGTCATTGGCCTCGTGCAGCTCGCATCAGAAGAAATCAAACGACAGTAAGTCAGCTGCTTCCTTTTAGCGTGCCACTTTGACCAGAGTTTCAGGGCGTCCGCTAATGATACGAACACACATGAACAAGCATCTTACGCCGCAAATTGCAACCGGTATCGTAAAGTGGTCGAAAGCGTTGTCCAAGCCAACAGGCTTGCGGTAGAGAAGGCGAAAGAGGACGACGATGCACATCCTACCGAGAAGCGACGGCACTACAACAGTAGTCTCCAGCGTTGGCAAGCAGACTCCAATGATACGGCTACTTGGTTATACCACCTGGTGTTCATGACTGGGGTTGCTGTGGCTGATGCAGTTCCTCCAGCGCCTCCACATACGGAGGCGGAGACAAAATCTTCGACGGGTTCGCATCAAGCCACTGTCGAGGATTATGATACAGAAGCATCAAAGAATGCAGCAAGAGCTGCCGCGGTGAAAAAACATAGAGTGGTCCAATTTGCGCCTAGTCCCAAGGCCATTGTATGGAATCAACTTACTGAACCTTCAACTGTAGTCGACAGATTGCTTCATACCTGGACCTTCCTGTCGGATGCCCACGTCCAAACGAGCGGAGTTTCTACTCTGTCCCCTCTGGAGGAAGCTTGGACGCAAAATCTGGTCCATAGGATTAAGGAAAACAATGACGAAAGGGAGAGCAAGAAGGCCAAAATGGCACGGAATCAGGTGCAATCTACCAGTTCCGAAGATGATGGCGAGCAGGACGATGATCAGGAAGATTCTGATTCTGAAAATGGCGATATAACGCATGATTTCGCCGACTATTATCCTGCCCGACCATGGGGATAAACATCCAACTCGGCTTTTCGAGCTAGACATGCATCATCTGGACACCAGCGGGACGTATACTCGAAATCACCGCATTGGACGCGCTCCGATGCCTTCTCTGTCTATTCAGTTGATTCAGATGGGAACACGGAGCTAGGCTCAACTGAACCGAGAGTAAACAGAGCACCTACTACTAGCAGGACCCGTTTGCCGTCGCGGCCTCCCGCAATTGATCCAAAAGTAAACGGAGTGCGAGCTACTGGGAGGAATCATCCACTATCAAATGGGTCTGCATTCCCCGCTGCATCCGGGTACGAAAACCCCTTCCATCCACTATACCCAGGGTATCGCCCGCAGAGGAATGATACAAATAACGAGCCCTCTGCGCCACATCCAGTCTTCATGCCTGTCCCAGACAGTGTTTGGCCCGATATACCAATTCAACCCTCGAATTTCGACCCTCCCATTGACCCCCCTGAACGGTTCTATACGCCACCGCCAACTCGTTCGCCCGGAAACGCACCCGAACGGTCAAGTTCACCTGAGCCAGCGGAAGATCCGCCTGTGGCATATACCAATCTTAGTATTAATGAAACAGCTGGCACGCCCTTCCCAAGCGCCTCGGAGGCTAAGCTCTTGCGCCTTGTGAGTTTGCTTGAAAAGCGACTGGAGAGTGAGGAAGAAGGTCCAGATGAACGCATATTGCAGCTTGAAGACATTGTTCACAAGATAGAAGAGAAGGTGTTGAAAGGGGAAGGAGTTGAAGGGGCAAACAAAATCATGCCGCATGCTTCCGAACAGTTCTCAAACGACCCTACTGATGAGCGTATTGCAAAGATGGAGCACTTGTTGCATGAGCAGCTTGAACAGATCCGGCATCACTCTGCAATTGAGGAACAATGGAGGAACGAAAAGTTCGCCCTTGAAGCTAAAGTTACTGAGGCGGCCAAAGAGGTCAAAGAATTGAGGGAAAAGAGCATTGCCAAAGCTAAAGCAGCCAAAAAAGCGGCACAAAAATCATTAAAATTTGTTGAAAAGACCGTTGCGGAGACGAAATTGGATCTAGAGAGGAAGAAGATTGAGAGGGATTACAATAGTCGCCTGGATGCCTATGAAAGGCGACTGACCGCCTTCTTAGGTGCAGAACAGAAGACTGTGTCGCCACCGACGGTCAACGCAGCTCCTGTGCCGTCCCGTCGTACATGCGTTTTTAAGGGAGATTGTCGAATTGAGGTATCCGAGTTCTTTGATGGTCAATCCGCAACCTACACGCCTCACTTTGATTTTGATAACATCATGCATTCGCAGTCTCTCTACTCCAATGACGATTCGTCAAACTTGCAAGCTAAGAGGTCTGGAAGCAATTCCCAAACTTCTGGTCTCAATGAGCAGACGCCATCGAGGAGGCTACTTGGCGCTCCAGATACTCAAAGGAACGATAACAATAACATCCCCAGTGTGGTTACCCTACCTTCCATTGATTATCCCTCTGCAAGGACAAGAGAGTTACAAGCTAGGCTGAGGACTGGCGGCTTCATCTCGCGGTCGTCAGTTTCGATTCCTAGTAGCATGGACATTGCTCCCTACGTAGACGACGCTTCGAGCGTTGGCGGAGTGCAGTGCACCATATGCTGGGAGCCGCCCACCGGCCCGCTGGGTAGTGACCTGATTCGGACACTGAGGTCAATTGGATGGAAACCATTCTATGCTCGGACATCTGGTACGTGTTCCGCTACGCTTTGGATCAGCGCAGTCCTTTATGGAAGCTCAAGCTGACACCACTTTCTGCAGAAGCGGGACACACGTACTTTGTCAGCAGCGAGCCTGTACACGTTCACTTCTTCACCCCCGACTACAAACCGCAGTTCACTGCCGCTGAGGCGAGACAAAGCGACCATCTGCTGATATCGGGGGACCTCGTGGAGGAGTATGCGCTTCTGGAGCTAGGTTTTCAGTTCGAAAAGTCAAATACTGGAGCCTACGTCCTAGACGGGCGTCTGACAGCGGCAGGTCTCCCCACCAATCCAGCATGTGCCAGGCTGACCCACTGTAGCGCGATGTTGATGCCCTCATTGATCGTTCGTTCCTCATTCGCGAAACCAGCTACCGGAGATTGTACCGCCAGTTGCAACAATTGCCAACACCAGAACCACTCGCATTAGAGCGGCCGTATCCATCGTCTGTGTTGTCTTATACAAGGTCACCAATGTCCGAAGAGGACGACCGCGACGATCGGGCTTCTGCCAACCATGACAGCGGAATGTTCTCTCTAACAGAAGACAGTGAAAAGCATGGGGATTGTCATGAATTCCATGACGGGGCAGATGTGAAATCTGTGGAATCTGAGAATGCACCTTACATGACTGGTGAGACTACCAGAGGAACGGCCGCTGGAACACGTGTAAGTGATGGGCCCCGGTTACGAATGTCAAAGTTGAAATTACATCGCGATTAACGGCACTTTACGTGCTGCTCGAGTTCGGTATTGAGTATCGAGGATGCTCCACATCTGGCTGCTACTAATTGCGTACTGCCGTGAATCTCGTCCAGACTGGGATTCATTGGCATATCGCATCACGGTGCAATGGACATTGGTTGCAAAAGCGCCCTTAGGCTTTCGCTGAAGATGCAGAAAAGCCAATTTAACCATGAGAGACTTGAGCTGCCCGTGATACACAGCACCTACCGATGGTCAGCCTTCCCTTTTTTTGCTTCACATCCAGAGAACCGCACCACCTGATCGCCGGGCACCTGCACAGCTGTATGTAAGAGCAATCTTCACCAGTTCAAAGCTGAGATCTTATTTACTAAGACATGCAGGTATCCGACCTTTACGACCAGTATGTACGTTTGTTGCCCCTTGCGATTGTACGCTTCCCCTCGGCTATCTCTCCTTAACATTCACCAGGTCGATTCACCCATCACCGCTCCCAGCCCGCACCTTTTCCCATATCCACAAGCGACTCTTATACCCAACCCTCTCTTCAACAACAATCACAAACCCACAACAAACTTTCCTTTCGAACACCGCGACAACACAACCAACAACCATGGCTTTGTCTTACAAGTCATATGATTACTCGCCGCCGCGATCAGCAAACTCCAGTCCACAGAATGGATACCTCACGCCGCTCACGCAGGACTCCAGCCCGCCGGCCAGATACAGCAACATCAAGCCCGTAATCATGGCCTCACTACCGGATATCCCGGACAACTTGACGCAGGATCTGGTCGATGCCGACCCGGCACTGAAACGCTTCCAGCAGGACCTCCTCGTGTTGACCTCCTTCAAAGACAATGAGACGTTGCACTGGCGGCCCTCGTGGTTCCCACAGGGCGAGTTCGCGACCAAGTGGTGGGGACTGCAGAATCCGCCAGACGTGGTTACCGAATGGTTGCCCGCGCCGCTATATGGACCGCAGGTGTACACGAGGAGGATGCGCAGACCGGGGGATCCCGAGCCGTTGTATATCAAGACCTGGGAGCAGTGGAGGGAGTACTGCGGCGTCGCTGGTGTTCCGGAAGATTTTTTGAATCAAAGGATGGTGGAGTTGTTGAGGTTGGGCTTGCCGCGTGATGCTCGAGGTGTACACTGCGGTAGGTTTCATGATCTCCGATTTCAAACGTCTTGCTTTACTTGATGGATGGAAAGGGAATACTGATAGCTTCTTCTAGCTTCGGGGAATGACTCCTGGTACCCGGAACCGAACCCGCAAGGCAGTACCTCCTACCTCTTGGACCCATCTACCTACGGGCTTCTGCCCAAGAAGTTTTGGTGCATTGACAAAGGCCATGTTATCGCGGTACACCCCTCGGGAGCCCTCCATGTCGACCATATCGATGCCTTCTGCCATGACCGGAGACAGTGGACACGTCTTAACGGTCGAGGAGAGTATGTGGCGGATCAGCGGTATGGCAGTCATTTGCCTATGGGGCCGAAGCTTGAGGGCATGGCGAGGAAGTGGGCGTGGTTGCCTTGGACGAGAGAGCAGGAGGTGAGTTGCGAGCCGTTCAAGTTGAGGATCAAATTGAAGGGGGCGGCAAGTGGCTCGGACGGTGTGGGGAATAGGATCTATGGGTCTGACGGTGAGGGGGATGGCAGGGGCTGAGATGATGGGTTGGGGTGGGTGGTGTTTAAGGGGGGGTTCAGAAGGATAGGGGAATAGGCGCGATTTGGGAGTATGGGCAGCCGGATGCGGGAGGGGAGATGGATTATAGGCTTGAGGTGTAGGGATTGCGATTGGAGGCTTTACTGCTTGGTGGATTGCAAGTTTAGTGTCGGGAAGTCGGTGAAGCTTGCAGCAAGGGGTTCGCGAGAGAGGCTCAGGGAATATGGATGTATTTTCTGCTTGAATTTGAATGAGAAAAACTGTTTCTCTGGCCGCTGTCTCTAAATGGCCGTTTGGTTATCGGTGAGAAAGGGTTTACATGGATGATGCGCACTATGCTAGGTGATTGATACATGCATATTCGAACTCGAAAGAAGCATAGAGACTGGGGCTTGTTGCGGAAGTCGAAAGTAGTTAGATACGCCACTATCCGCTATTGTATAGTATGTAGAAAACTATGCTATACGGCACTCTTCGAATGATGTATAGCAAGAGGTTGCTCTAATATATGCTTAGTGAGGTAGTTTAGTAAAAGATGTATTTCCCGACTCCGTTTAAGGGTGAAGGCAGGTGCCTTGTTACTGCCGCGAGCCAGCACAACGGATTTGGACCGCTTCATAAGAGCGAGATGTTGCCGGAGACGGACTCGCACCCCAAACAGACATCCAGCTACACCCTTTGACGGACCAAAGAACACGGGCTTTCATCCGCCCGTCCAGCAACTCCTCACTCAATGGAAATACTTCCACGCCACGCCCCTACAAATCTCCCATCCTTCATCCAAAACACTTAACACCTCTTTCCCCAACTCTCCCTTCTCGAAGTCCTCCAGATTCCTCTCCAACTGCGCCTTCGAGCTCGCCCCAATAATCACCTTATCCCCATACTCCCTTTTCAACGCGGAATGATGCATCATCCACCTCAGCGCGACCTCGCTCTCCCTCAACCCCTTGGGCAGCACCACCTCCCTCAACCGCTCCAGCGCCGAGAAAAACGCGTCGTTCCAGTACCGCATCCGGTACATCTTGCCCTGGATCCGATTCTGGTCGAACCGGCTGCCCGGCTCAATCTCCTCATCCTTGATGTCCCGACGATACCGATCCGTCAAGTAGCCGCCCGCCAGCGGATTGAACGCATAGAAGGCGATGCCGTACTTCCTCAAGCAGGGTAGGAGTTCGTGCTCGACGGTGCGGTTGAGCACGTTGTAGACGCCCTGGTACACGGTGGGCTTGACCCAGCCTTCCCTGGCGTCGCACATCTCGCAGATGGCGGCGACCTCCCAGGCCATGAAGTTGGAGACGCCCCAGGTCTTGAATTTGCCCTCGCGGTAGAACTTTTGCACGATCGCTACGGTTTCTTCGAGGGGAACGGAGCGGTCCGGTCCGTGCAGGTACCAGAGGTCTACGCAGGGGGTTTTCAGGGCGGCGAGCGAGGCGTCGATGGCGGCGCGCATGTCGGCTTCGGTCAAGTGGGTGACGGTGAAGCCCAGGTAGCCGTGGATGTTTGGGTAGAATTTCGTCGCGAGGGTCGGGGGCTGGGATTGCCAGTCGATCAGTTGGCCGAGATATTCTTCACTGCTGCCGTTGCCGTACGCGCGGGCCGTGTCGATTTCGTGGTGGCCGTGGGATTGGAAGGTGGAGAGGATGGCGGCGCAGTCGTCTAGGTTGGAGGTGCGGACTTGCTCGACGCCTGTGGGGAGGTGTGAGAATGGACGGATGTGGAAGGGAGGGCTTGAGAAGGAGGTGCCTTACCTTCTTTGCCAAAGGTCATGGCGCCGAAGATGATGTCGAGCTTGGTTGAGGGAGCCATGGTTGTGATGTTGTTGTGGTGTTGTCGCAATCTGGGATGGTAGTGTATTGAGGGAGGTTGGGACAAGCCTTCGACTTCACTACTAAAAAGCTTGTGGAAAGCTTACGGTTAGGACGCTTTTATATTGCAGTCCTTATCTAAAACAGATATAGGTTAACGTCACGGTCCTGGGGCTCACTGTTGGGGTTGCAATCCTACGCAGCCTGTGTCGGACTTAGTGCGGAAATAACCATCGCGAGATACAATCCCACACATTATCGCCAGAACTTCAAGTCGGACATAGGTTTAAGTCCTGGACTTGCCTTTATTGGGGTGATGTATCACTCCTAGGCGGACGAGCATACGGACCGTTGATGGCCCTGACATTCAACTCTGAACACCATTCTCCTCCCTCCACGTCTGTCGATCCTGCTTCGCAACACCGGAGCCTTTGTAGACACTTCCATACACTCCACTGGCCCAATCCCGCCCTTCACCCGACTTTGGAGCCCTCCTACGATACCACTTCCCGTACGTGAGAAGATAATATAGCCTGAAGCTCAACAAGGCGAACTTGTCCCTCTCCAGATCCTCGGGATACGTGGCTCCCAGATCAACAGCAGCTGCAATACCACTGATGACGGCAACCTCGTGTGCGTTGACGAGAGTCCAAGCCGCCGCGAACCGCGTCCGCTTTCTGCCCTGGAGCAACCACATCCAAGGAACGACGAACAGATAATGAGTCCATGAATGGCAGAGCTGATGCCACCAGTCTTTCCGAATGATCTTGCTTTCGTCAATTTCGTCGATGCTCCAAAGATGTCCATCACGGTGCTTATTCAGATAAATTGTTTGGAAAACGTGCTTGTCGAATGGGACTTCCGGCGGGAATTGGCTTTGGTAGTTTGTGCAGTCGAAGCACATTTCCAGCTTTGAGCGGTCTTGGGGATACATTTTGATCAGGTACATGGGTCGGAAGGACTTCTGTCCCATCTGGTCGCGTGTTGTCTGGTCTACGCCGGAGAGCGTGGTTACGGTTTGATCCGGGTTGTAGAAGACTTCGTAATGTTTCTTCATGTACTCGCTGTCCCAGTGCGTCACAGTGATGTCCTATGAAGAGATCAATATAGCATATTTACTGTATTCGTGTACATCAGCTTACATTTGCGAACTTGGCGGAACCGAGGACTTTTCTTTCTCGGTAGGACGAGGTGGGTTCCAGGATTCGTTTGGCAGTGTCGGCACTGTCTTCGGTTAGTTTGTTATACCAACATTGCTACCGGACATGACCTACAGGACGCAGAGGACGAGCTCATCGTAATGTTCCTCAAACTCCTCCGCGTTAGCATCCGCATGACTTGCCCTATCATGCGGCACCCATTCACTTTCCGGGTTATGATGGTCGGGTTGAGGAGTGCGCTTGATCATTCTCACAGTCACTCCTGATTTGTCCCGCTTGACCACACTCGTAAGCTCGGCGCAGAGCTTTACATTAACCCTTTTTGCAACAAGGCTCCTTCTCCAGTCTTCGTAGAAGGTGCTGAATTTCGGGAAGACGATCATTGGCGGTAGATTGCTCGCGACGCTAAGTCCATCTGGAGGATACCACATGCCAAATGTCGGACTTGTGCACAGTCTCTCAAGGATAATGGCAGGTACCTCGGACGTGTAGTTGCCAGTGCCAAGGAACAACGCAACCATAGGAAGAACAATAGTGTTGCTGAATTCCTCGGAGAAGAAGAACATTTTCATGAGATACTTGATGGGGATGAGGGCGAAGACAAGCTCGAACCAACGCACTATGGTTAACATCCGTTTGAAGCGTCTTATCTCGTTTTGATGTCTGGCAAGGAGCTGGGTAGGGAAGACATTGGTCCAGAAGATGTCGTCTTTCCCAAAGGAAACCTAGATATCGTCAGCGTATGCCTCTGAACAAGTCATTATTTCTCACCTGAAGATTCACTGGATCTGCATGGTGGCCCTGGCGAGCAAACATGGTCATGGTATGGTGAAAGATATAGCTGCCACCCTGCACGCCTTGATTGAGCCACCCAGCTCCATGGCGAGATTTATCCAGAGGTATCGAGAACGCCTGACCTCCGCAATAATTCTGGGAATCAATGAGCGTAACATCGAATTTGTCGGGATGCTCAGCCAGGTGGTGAGCACATGACATGCCTGAAAAGAATAAGCGATTCTATGGCGAGTATAGTCACATATCGCAGACTAACCCGCCGCACCCGCACCGACAACTAACACTCTCTTCCGTCCAGACTTGTTCGTGGAGCTGGCCATGCTTGAGGTATGGAGAAGTGGTTGCTGTTCCCGCGAGTATTGCATGAGCAGGAGGCATGCGGATGTGCAGGAAACGAAAATGTGCCGTCATGGCCGCATATGTATATGTCCATAGGAAAATAGTCATGGCGTCATGATGGAACAAAGATGCCCAAACCAGTGAGTTACTAAGTACTTAGCGGAATCGGGCCGCCGAATCTCAGATCGCCCGGCCAGAAGACGCTAGCCTAGCCTTACCCGTCCCACCCGCTAAGAGTGCGATATTTCAGGTCCTTTTTGGTCTCTTTGAGGTGTTGCAGCTGGGTAAATGAAGTGACTCCGCAGTCATTCGTGTATAGGATGGAAATAGAGTGGAAAGGAGAGTGTCTGGTTAGAATCCTCACACCCGACTAAACAACCCCCTCCACTTCCTCTGTACTGCTGTTTTCCATACCTAATTTAAACAGCTGGCAGGCGCAGCAATATAGGAGGTCCTGCAATTAGCTTTGTAGCGCGCCTCTACGTATAGTAGTATATTTAAAAGAAAATTCTAGCTGTTGCATTATTAAGTCGTAGCTAGTTAACTTGTGCTAGGTAGGTAATTCTACCTACAGAGGAATTGCAGCTAGATGTCTAGTTAGATGTTAAAAGCCGCAGTATATCGTCTATCTCGACTTTTAGAGGTAGACTAGCAAATAGCAGATGCACTAGAAGATGTAGCATCTTATCGCTAAACTACTTCACTTCCATCGGTAGAATTGCAGTTGGTGAACGACATCTCGCGGCAACAGTGAACCCTCGGTTGCAGATAATTGCATGCCTGCCAACGTACGCAAGTGATTTACTTAAAGAGAATATGATAAAGGTCTGCCCATCGACAGTCGGAGCAAGGGTATTTATGACTAAGCATCAGATACTTCTTGACCTGTCTCTTCAGGGCTTGCCTGCCAGCCGAACCTCGGCAGTGCGACATCAGCACCCTCCATCAGCAGCTGGGAGCATCCAGGGTAAATATCAACGACATGTTCGCATACATTTTATTATACCAACACCACAGCCGCCCTCCTTGACCTGCCGTACTAAAGGCTAGGGAGTCAAATTGCCACAACACCCTTATCTCCTTAACACGCGCTCGGATACATCAACGCATCAGCTGTACGCAAACATGAGCTCCAGCCCGAAACTTTCCCCGAAGCTGAAATTCACCGACAACCTCGATGCCTCTCCCTTTGAGCGCGTAAAGCGTTGGTTCGACCTCGCCGGTTCGGGCGACTACCATGTATGCTACCCATGCACGATTTTTTCCACAAAAGAAGACCCTAACCCCTCCCAGGGCCACGACTCCCTCCTCGCCAGAATCATGACCCTCGAATCCGTCGTCGTCGAACCCACGCCCTCAAACCCCCACCACGCCGTCGTAACCTTCTCCATGACGGTCCCCAAGGAACTCTGCAACATCATCGGGAGCCTGCACGGCGGGGCCGTCGCACTGATCTTCGACGTCTGCACTTCCACCGCCATCAGTGCGCTTTCGCGTGAGGGGTTCTGGGATACGGGGCATGTGAGTCGGACGTTGAATTGTACGTATTTGAGGCCGGCGCCGCAGGGGAGTAAGATCTTTGTTGAGGGTGAGGTGGTGCATTTGGGGAAGAGGATGGGGTTGACGAAGGGGGTCATACGGACGGAGGATGGGAAGCTTTGTTATACGTGTGAGCATGGGAAAGCGGCAGTAGGGCAGTCGAGTTTGTAAGGGGTTTGTTTCTGGCATGGTAGACCATTGTTTATTGCAGCTTATTACATGACGAGTATATCCCCCCTGATATGGAAAATTCGGAATCGATCTATAGTTGCTTGCTGGTAAGCAGCTCTGTTTGAAGATTCGAGAGTATGGAGTAGTGCTGGAAGTAAATGAGTGGACGGCTCTGCCGTACATCGGCGCCCGTTTCTACTAGCAAAGAAAGAGTTCTACTATCGTAGGTTGGGATTGTAACCTTCGGGTTGGGCGCTCGGTTGCGGCGGCGTTGCTGTTGCATAACCCTCAGTTGGCTCGGGAGCACCTGCTGGATTCTGCTCAGGGGGAACTTCCGGAGCCTCAGGGGGGACTTCTGGAGCCTCAGGAGGGACTTCCCCGTCCACAGGGGGTGTGGGGACTGTACCCGTCCCTGCTGGGGGAGGAGGAACTTCTGGAGCCTCAGGAGGAGCCTCCGGATTCTCAGGAGGGACTTCGACAATGGGAGTTGGGGCTGTACCCGTCCCTGCTGGGGGAGGAGGAACTTCTGGAATCGGTGTTGGCGGTGTACCTGTTCCTGCTGGAGGAGCAGGAAGCTCTGACTCGGGGGGAATAGGCGTCTGGGATTCATCCGCATAGCACGGAAATTGTCTGCAGTTTTGTGAGCGAGGTGTACGAGGAGGCGAAAGGGCCGATATATCTTACTGGGGTGCCACAGGGCCGTTCGCGTCGTGGTAGCCCAAGATAAATTTGTAGCACAAGGGTCGTTTTCCTCCCACTGGCGGAGGGGATTGGCCCGGTCCATAGTTATCGCTGTAGTTTGTTCGCTTCCTCCTCGTGACGTAGCCGTTTGTGGTAGCGTTGCCTGGCCGCAGAGAATCCGGAGTGTCTGCGCAGGTTAGAGAGATGCCTGCATTTCTGAAGGTAATGCAGTTGTCCACTGTGACTTGAAGAGGTTCCTCAGGGAGTGGTTGGGTGGATGGGGTGCCAGTGGAATAAGGAGGGCCGACAACGCCAGTTCCCGTAGGAACCGCAATGAGTGTATAAGTGGCGCCAACACCCGTGCCGGCGAGGAGAAGTCCAAAGGAGGCAATCTTGGAATACATGTTGAGGATATGAAATAAAGACCAACAAGTGTGAATTTCAGGTTGGCTTGGGAGGCTTGGAATTCGCTATCGAAGGGGGAGCTGCATCTTTTTGTACCCTAGGGTATGGGCGTTCCGCGGCGAGTATGTTGACGACAGGTTGCTTGTGTCGGGGCGATGATCCTTTTCAAAGGCGACAGGTCTTCATGTCTCTTCATGATTCCAGGTGGTAACTCCATATTGGTGATGTTGGTTGCCCAAGTCACCACTGATACGCCCGAAAGTCCCGCCTCATCCTTCATATATCGAATTGGCAGCCTACATCGAATTCGCGGTGGATCTTCGACCTGGAACCATGCCTTCTCCGTACTGAAACGCTGACACTAACCTGAGTGCAGAGATTCTGGAAGGGGCACAGTGACTGATGGAGTTCCGCATGGGTTGAAAGGAAGCGGCTGTGAATGAGCATAGTGCACCGCCGTTCGGAGTTCGTGAGCATGTCAAGGACGCCCAAACAAGGCGATAGCCGAGTGCTCAGAATAGAAGTTTCAGGAGATGAAGAAGATCAATAGAAAGATTCGCATTCCAGGAGAAAGAAAAGACACTTGGATATTGTTATTGCGGCGTGGTGGGTACATAGGAATACACAATCTATCCACCTACGCCACAATGTGGCATGCTCGTCAACGTGGCTCAAAGAAGAAGCCCAGAACTCATACCGCCTCCAACTACTCCGTAATACGCCTAGTTATGCTTCTTAAGTCTGAGTAAGACGCTGTGCTGAAAGGACCGATGAGGTCTCCCGAGAGCATTGTGGAGAGGGGACCTTTTGCCAAGACCGCTTCCCTGACGGCGCATCACCTCGTCACCACAACCTAGCCGATCACCCAAAACGGCTTACCTATACACAGCAACATGGATCTCGGCGATGAAGGAACTTCGCCCTGGGGCGGTAAGACATCCTGAACATCCCGAGTATCTCATCCAGCAAATCTTGGAGCTAATTCTCTGCAGATATGCCCTCACGGTCGAGCCCGTCCAACATACCCAAGGTCGAGCACGAGGAGTCTGGTATGCATGGCGCTTTGTCGTGACTGCTAAGCAGAACTAATTGACCAGAATCCCGTAACGTCTCGACGCCCACCGCAGATTCCGGAGCAAAGGCATCCGCCGCACCGCGCTCGCCAGCAGGACGAGGACCTAGAAGGCGACAACATGGGGTACAGGCACCTCGCCTGGAGGCTGTGGAAGACCCCCTCGGGCCACTGGGAGCTTCAACGCCCCCCTCTGCGCCTGAGGCACCCCCAGCGCCCCCACAGAAGGAGCCTACGCCGTCGAGAATCCAGCAGTCTACCCCTGCAGCCTCCACTGCCTCTCTTCGCGGCATGATGGATTCGGTGAACCTCGATGACGATGAGGAAGAGGCAGAAATAAGGTCTGGACCCAGAATACCTCCCCCAGTACAGCCTCCGAGCGGCACCATGCCTCAGCGACAGACGCAACCCAGCGTGAGCGTAGAACAAGCTGCGAAACCCTCTTTCCATATCACCGTCGGCGATCCCCACAAGGTCGGAGACCTCACAAGCTCGCATACGGAGTACTCGGTGCACACGAAGGTATGATTCTCATGATTGATGGCTGTTTCGGTACTGAGTGCCTGCAGACGACATCCAAGGGCTATCGCAATCCGGAGTTCACGGTCTCCCGCCGCTATCGTGATTTCCTTTGGCTATATAATCAGCTACATAACAATAACCCTGGTGTTATTATACCGCCCCCACCTGAGAAGCAAGCCGTCGGCCGGTTCGATGCCGACTTTGTTGAATCAAGGCGCGCTGCCCTGGAGCGCATGTTGAGCAAAATTACAGCACACCCTATTTTACAGCACGATAGTGACCTGAAACTCTTCCTTGAGAGCGAGGCATTCGGCATTGATGTGAAGAACAAGGAGCGCAAGGACCCAGGCCTAGGCGAAAGCAAAGGCATGTTTGGAGGTATGCTCTCTGGCGGTGGCGGAAAGTTCATTGAGCATGACGATGTAAGGAATCCTAATATGAAGTGTTGGAGTGTTTCAGCTAACACAATCATCAGTGGTTCCACGATCGAAGAATTTATCTGGACGCTCTTGAAGCGCAACTCAAGGCTCTCTTGAAAGCTCTAGACACAGTAGTAACTCAGCGGAAAGGTCTAGCCGAAGCTGCCGGCGATTTTTCCGCTTCATTACATTCGCTTGCTGCAGTCGAATTAGCACCTTCGCTCTCGGACCCATTAGAAAGCTTATCAGACATACAAATCCGGATTCGCGAGCTATATGAACGCCAGGCCGCGCAGGATATCCTCACGTTTGGTATTGTCGTGGATGAATACATTCGCCTGATCGGGTCGGTCAAGACTGCGTTCCAGCAACGGCAGAAAGCGTACCACGCGTGGCATGCGGCAGAATCGGAAATGCAGAAACGCAAAGCGACACAGGACAAGCTGCTGCGGCAGGGGCGGTCGCAACAGGATCGACTCAATCAGGTCAGCGCTGAATTGGCGGATGCTGAGCGGAAGGTTCATCAAGCGCGACTGCTGTTCGAGGACATGGGACGTCTGATGAGGAGTGAGCTGGAACGTTTTGAAAGGGAGAAGGTAGAAGACTTCAAGTCCGGCGTTGAAACGTATTTGGAGAGCGCTGTGGAGGCGCAGAAGGAGGTACGATGGCTGTATCCCCTTCCTCTCCGTTCACCTCTAACAATGTGTCCAGCTCATTGAAATATGGGAGACATTTCTAATGCAGCTCGACACGGATGAAGGCGAGACCTTCGTACCACCTGCTGGCGTCGTAGCCTCACCAAAGGGAAAGGAGGCAGCTCGCCCCGGGGAAAGCCAAGTGCACGCAGAGTCGGAGAACGCGAACAATGGAGCGGGGATACATGCATCAAGAGAATCCGAGGAGTAGTTGACCCGCTACCCTCACTCAAGCAGCGGCTGTATATCTTGAAGCGCTCTAGCTAATGATGTAATTCTTCAACAGCGAACTCCTGGAGCTGCCTGGCGATCCTCTGTTCAATGAGCTCGTTCCTCCACTGTATGGGTCTGTGGAGAACCGGCTGATGATCCTCCGGCTTTAAATTCGAGAGCATGTAAGAGGTGAGAACGCTGGAGTAGGAAAGGATTACCAGAAGAAGAGGGATCACTGTGTATTCAATGTTGGGTTCCAGGGCTGCATGAATGTTGTACCCTGCAGTGGCTCATCATTACCGGAGAGGCTATTTTATTCAGGAACCGAATTGTCGTATGCTACACAGTACCTAAGGCGTCTTTGATAAGGTTTAAGACGCATGTTGGCGTGAAGAAACATCTTGCCAAGGGGCTCAAGGTAGGAGTGTTGATGGACGTTGACAGAACGAGCGATACTGGATATAGCTAGCGCAACTACGCGAGGCCATGACAACATTTCCGCGCACATGCGTACATTACATACCGTCTGTGCCCTTTTCAATTCTACCGACCTATTTCCGAGTTGTCATGATGTGTGAATGTTCACACCAACAAGTACAGACGCGTGTCCGCCTCTCTCTCCCTCCCCCTCTCCGCGGATTCCAACAATCATCATGGTTGCTTCATTTCCTCCTTGTTGGTGCCGGAAACAGTGCGAATCCGCCCGCCAGGAACGGCTGCGTGGTCGACATGCTGAGGGCAAGGCTAGGGGATGATATTAAAGCCTTAAACTCCCGGGGTCGAAATGTTTGCCGGGGACTCCACTGTCCGCTTCACCTATCACAAAGCCTCTTTCGTTCACGTTTTGCCCAGGGCACGTTGATCGCAACTCGCCATCGCTCCCACATGGATCCAACTGCCCCTGCAAAAGACGTGCAGGAGCTGCAATCACGGTTGAAGAATCCTGCACCTTAACATGCCCCGGCGCCTTCGACCGAGTAGTGGGATGGTTTGGAACCGAAGCATTGGGGCGCTGTGGGATTCCAGCAGTGACATCGCTGGATATGCCCACGAGGGTATTCGCAACATGGGGTGGCCCACGTAGGCGGCGCAGAGATGCCTGTTTCGCCGGGTGTATGCAGGTGGAGCTACCGACGACTGGGAACTGTGATGTCGGTGTCCGTGGTGTTATAAAATGGACCTGCAGATCCATGAACGTCGTGCTGTCGCGAGCTCCTGCAACCTCCAGAGCTTCCGGTACCCCAATATGAAGTCGTTTCAGTCGATCGGACTCGCCGGCGCTCTGCTGGTAACGGCGGCCTCTGCGCAGACCTTCCGGAGGTTGGGTGCTTGTCCTACCCTTGGTACGATTCCATTAAGCATGGGCACTGGATCATAACACTGACTTCTTATGTAGGATGCGTTTTCCCGCCCGACCAGTACGTTTGATACATGTAATAAGTTGCTACTCCATGTGCCTCGGCTTACAATAAATCAGGGCCGACTTTCTCGCCGGCCAATACTTCGACATCCGTCTTGAGGTCCACGCACCCAGGAACGGTTCGGAAGCCATTGGATTGCCACCTGACGAGAAGTTCACCTTTACTATCGCCAAAGGCAAAGGGAAGCCCCAGGATGTCACCAAGTTCTTTGGCATTGAGGACCCTAAGCTGGAGAAATGGGACTTTTCCTGGTATGAGGGTATGTGATAGAGAGCGCCGGAAGTCCGAAAAAGTACAACAGCTAAGCTTCCCACAGACCTGTTTGCGAGGGACGCGAAGAAAAAGACCGTAGTCGATGTGACATCCAAGGCTTATCGCAGAGTCGCTTTGTACGAGCCTGGAGGTAAAGAAGTCCAGCATAGAGCCTTATGAAGAGTGACTGACGCCCCACAGAGTACACTGCTACCCTCAGCTACAACAATGGCAGCACCACCAAGGCCACATGGCTAGTGCGCGACCTGAAGGAGGTGCGCAAGACGAAGAATATTATCCTGTTCATCGGTGACGGCATGACCACCAACATGATATCGGCTGCCCGCCTCATTGCCCACAAGAGCATCAACGGCAAGTACCAGTCCTTGATGGCCATGGACAAGTTCCCCGTTCTTGGCCATCAGATGACACACTCCATTGATACGTTCATCACCGACTCTGCCAACTCGGCTTCTGCACTCTACACTGGCCACAAGAGCACAGTCAACTGTATGGGTGTCTACGCCGATTCCAGCAAGAACCCCTTCGATGATCCCAAGGTCGAGACCATCGCTGAGATCTTCTATCGTCTCACTGGCGGCCAAGTCGGCATCGTCTCTACTGCTTTCATCGCCGATGCCACTCCCGGAGCTCTCACTGCCCACACGCGCGACCGCGGCCAGTACGGCCATGTCGTTGACACGTTCCTCAACGGCGTTACGAACTACACCTGGACAAAATGGGACGGGCCCGCGGTCCTCTTCGGTGGTGGCGCCGAGCAGTTCTACTCTCCCAAGCTAGGGGGCAAGACGTACCAGGACAAGGACTACTACGAGGAATTCGCCAAAAAGGGCTACCAGGTCCTCTGGAACAAAACCGCGCTAGCATCTGCGCCCAATGACAAGAAAACCCTCGGCATCTTCACCGTCTCCAACATGGCCAAATGGATCGACAGGAACGTGTACAAGACGAACCTCAACCAGTCTCTCTCCCCCGCCGGCGACAAGACGCCCGCTCTGGACCAGCCCGGCCTCAAGGAAATGACCCTCAAAGCCATCGATATCCTGCAGGCGCGCTCCTCTGGCAAGGGCTTCTTCCTCATGTCCGAAGCCGCCAGCATCGACAAGATGATGCACGCGCTCGACTACGACCGCGCGCTCGGCGAGCTGCTCGAGCTCGACGACACCATCAAGGCCACCATCGCCAAGCTCAAGAAGATGGACGCCCTCAAGGACACCCTCATCCTCGTCACCGCCGACCACGGCCACGGCTTCGACGTCATGGGCTCCGTCGACACGCACTACCTCGCCGCGCAGAACACGGACCGCAAGAAGCGCGACGCCATCGGCACCTACGAGCAGTCCGGCCAGAGCCAGTACGTCGTGGGCAACCTCACCTACACCGACTCCAACTTCCCCTCCAACTGGGACCCGCGTTACACGCTCTTCCAAGGCCTCATGGCCGACCCGGACCGCCGCGAGGACTGGCGCATCCACAAGGACGGTCCTCGCACGCCCGTCGTCGAGACCGAAAAGGGCAGCAAGGACTACGTCGTCAATCCCAAGGATGGCCAGGACGGAATCGTCATCAATGGCACGCTGCCTGTGGATAACGAGTCCGGGGTCCACAGTCTGACGGATGTGCCCGTCTTCGCTATGGGCCCTTGCCAGGAGAGGTTCGGGGGCGTGTATAATAGTATTGATATTTTCTTTGGGATGGCCGAGTGTTTGGGTTTGTCGAGGGGGAAGAAGGAGCGGGAGGATGCGCATGGGCATCGGGGGGATCATTATTGAGATGTAGAGATGTGTGTCGAGGGAGGGGATTTCTGGATATGTTGTATTAAGGAAAGTGGCGACGATTTGTAACGCTTCGTTTTGTGTACTAAAGAATATTTATTATATACGTAATCGACGTACGCTTTTTCTTTATTTCGTCTGGCAACTTTGGGCCTGCGCAAATGAGTAATCAGGTCAGAATGTCGACAAGCCAGGAAGCAGCGTCAAGAACTCCACATCTTCCAGGGCCGCGTCCCCGATCGGGGTTTCGGTGCGAATATTTGCAGGAGAAGCCAAGCCAAAGCTTTAGATCTATGTTCATTTCTTCAGAGCCCGTTACCACGCGGCCTGCTGCTGCTTCGAAGCGAATTATTACAGAAATCTACGTCTTCTAATGTATCCTCTATATAGTACACTATTTTAAGCTACTCTACACAGTTACTCTTAGGAGAAATATGCCGCCTAGAGAGCTGTATGCAGGCCTGGGCTAGCAAGCCTCCTCCTCATCACACCATGACATTCTTCAACCAGCCCAACCTCTCATGGACCCTTCGCTTCCTTCGTAACTCGTGATATTCGAGTGCGGGTCTCCCTCGGAAGGGATAATCTTTTTGCACGGCCCAGATGGCTGCACTGAACGTGGCGGTATGGGCGGGCGGAGCTCTGCCATGGCCGGTGCTATATGCAGCCATGACCTTCGTAGGCACAGTCCTTGGATATGGCCCATGCTCGTCTGTCTTGTCTGTCCTAACAATTTCCAATCCCAAGGTGTTTTGCTCACGGCGGGGGGTTCATCAGCCTTCCAAGCTCGAGCAACAGACGGTACATATAAACAGCAGCATCCTCTTTCCTCAGGACCTTCCTTAGCCAGTCTCGCCCGGCATTCGCAATGTCCTTGGAGATCCTGCTACCACGTTCCGTGAGCGCAAGGTAGCGCATCAATTCCGGCAGTTCGCCCATGTCCATACTCACGGGGATATAATGGACCCAGGGAACCAGGCGGTCATCGTGCCACTCCTTGAAGATGGTTTGCTTCAGGACGACGCTCTTGCTTTCCAGCAGCGTGTAGTATCGGCCCGAAAACGAGTTGCCGTCGAGATCGAACAGGAACCGGTAATGGAAGCTGGTGCTCCGCTCTTCCTTCTCCGAGGGGTGGAAATAGTCGTTGATCTGGATACATTGCGACTCCTCGCACTGGACGACGTTTGTGAATTTCACGTCGTACAGCTGGGGAGAGACGTCTTGGGAAGTGAATGGCTCCCACACTCCGCGGCTCGTCTCGGTAAGGAACGTCGCCGACTCGTTGGACAGCTGATTCACCCGCGCCACGAACCTTTGGCGATGCGACGAGCGCCAGGTGTCGCTCGAAGCGCTGGCGTAGCTGCCCGTTGTCGAGCCGGCCCAGTAGAGCTGTGGTCGTTTTAGTTCCCAGTCTGGATCCTCGGCTTCGTTGTAAGGTTTCATGTCCTTCACGCCTATGTAATATGGAGGCGGGTACAAGATATCTCGGAATGTCGAAGGCCGCGCATTTGAGAGTACTGGCACCACAGAGTCTGTAAACAGGAACGTGGTCGGCGCTTGGAAAAAGCCATGCATGTTCGCATATTCGGGATGTTTGCAGAGGTCCTTGGCATCCTCGACATCCGTGACGAATTTCAACGACCCGATCCCAGTCTTCTGATTCAACCCGGCATTCTTCGATGGTTCTGCTTTTCGGTCCTGGCAGATTTGGGTCACTCTGTCCCAAATCGACTTGCGCGACGCATCGATCCATGCGGGGATTTGATCGTCGTTGGAAGTCCCCACCGGGGATATCACCCTCGGCTCATCGAGAGAATTCAGGAGAAGCTCGGTGTCGGGAAGCGGGTCCTGCACCAATGCCAACACCTTCTCCACCTCACGGCCCATCCAGTCGCATTGCATAAGATTCGGCCGACCGTCGCGTGTGGTCCATGAGCATGCCTTTGCATTGGCGGCTGAAGCGGCACTCCTGACTGCATTTCGGAGTTGCTCTGGACGGGCGGATTGAAGGTACTGCACTGATTCCTCGATGGTGTCGAAATCATCGATGATGGTGGAATTCTGTTTCTTCGCGAATTCGAACCAGTGGTCAAACCCCGGAGGTGGTGGGCGGTGATATCTCTCTTGGTATTTAGCTGTGGCCTCCTCAAGAGTCGAGGACTGGCTTTCTAGCATTCTTTCAAATTTTTTCTTGTAGTGATCAACCAGGACATCCACTGGATGACTGGTGAGGTGGGGGGAAGTCTGCGGCAGCTTCATAGAATGCCATTGTTGCTGGACCGGCCCGCGGTACGACCAGAAAAGAAACACGGAAAGGATCAGGACAGAAAACAGCAACGGATTAAGCCTAAAGGCTCGAGCGGCAACGGTGCGTGCGAGCACCAGAGGCGCTGCCATGGCACATAGATGAGAGTAGGGAGAGGAAACGAGAAGCTCAAGCTGGCAACGATGAGGAAACAAGCGTGTTCATCTTCGCCTCGGTGATTTCACGGACCGCACCTACAACGGGGACATGCTGAAATAGTAATAATACTCATGACTAGGGTGGCGCCCTGGGGCATGGATGTGCACCGATGGCGGCGTAGTCGACCATGCTGCATATAGCAAATACGCGAGGCGCTCGCTCCCCATGTATGCCCCTGCTTGCAACGTGCTAGATCTTACTACAAGAACGATTTGTAAAACATCTTAAGCGCTTACTTTTTACAAAAAGTAGCAACAATTCCAACCGGTAAGCTAGAGGGTAATCCAAATCCTCTCGATGAAGTTCTTCACTTCGAACAAGACTACCCTTACCGGTGGAATGCTGCGCCGTCAATCTCCCTTCGTACTTCTGTCCTATCAGCGATCTAGGTTGTATACCCTGGGTACGTCGGGCTTCTAGGGTGCGTTTCTGAAATCATTGAGGAGGCGGCACGGGAATTGAATCGCCAAATCATAACTTTTGGGCCCATGTCCCTACTGCGGGTATCGATGCACCAAACGTGGCTAAAGGGGCGCGGTGTGTACTCCGTACCGGTACATGCATAGTACCGGTAGTATGTAGGCGCCGTCACCGATGTCTACGTATTATTAGCCGCCAAAGCATCTCCCAGCGAATACCATGCACTGCCTCTATCTATGCAGGCTCCGCCGCATTTGGGATATCGCGCAATGGCTCTAGAAAACGGAGTTGTTTCTATAAGGTGACTGAACACAAGACATGTCTCACAGTATGGGCTTTGCTGTTTGGTGTGTTGTTATAGATGCCAGGGACTCCGTTATATCTCACCTCAGACATTCCGTATCGGATACCATGAAGTCAAGGAAGGTGAGATGTTCTAGACTGAGGAACCTAAAGAAGTATCAAATGTCTGAAGCTACACTTACCGACTGATGGATCCCTGGACCATCTCTGGACACTGGGGAGAAAGGCGGAGTAGTCCTCATGAACTGATCTCAAATATTAATCAAAATTGACATTCAGACACTCCTGAGGGTTTAAATGTCAGCCTATACTTGTCATTTTGACGCGGACACCTAGATACCCGGCGATGGTATGTACGCCGAACCTCACGCACTATCTTTGCATGATACCCTGTTAAAATGGGATGTGCCAACCAAAAGTGCAAGGCAAGACTGCGGAGGGCGTTCTTAGATATGGCATTGCATGTGACAAGAACCCTTTCCAAGCTATTTCTGGGGCTGGCTCCAACGCTACTTCCGAACCGTCTTTATAACCCCTCACACCTTCTTAGCTTTCGGCGTCGCCTTGCAACAGCACTCATTCTTTTGGCCCCCTTTTCCCCAATTCATTAACCCTTTATTAGCTGCCAGACGTATAGGTATGCCGGTCACTAAGGTCGTACGCGCGCCGCTCTGTAGCTATGTACTCAGGGCCCGCGATCAGCCAACGCAAACAGCTGAATCAGAAACCGCCGTACGTTCTGCTGTAATACTTCAGCGGTAAACCGCAAACTGGCCCTCTCCCCGTCACTATGTGAAGATGCGTTTCGGGTGGAATAGCGGGAACTTGAAACCAGTGATGTGAGAGGCAGAGCCAGGCCGGGCGGGAAACGACATGGAAGAAAGAATGACCGACAGTATGAGCCACAAGCACGGGAAATCAAGGAGGGAGATTGTCCAGTATTCCAAGGAACCAGAAATACTACTCACAACATTGCATGGTGAGCGCGCGGGTAAGTCCCAGAGGATCAACCAAGACGACATCCCGCCTACCTGCAGAATCTCACAGTCATCCCTCCCACGCGATGTGCCACCGCCCTCTCTACGAGGATGAAAAAAAAGAAAAAACAAAAAAGAAAAAACCAAACACAAGTGGAAGTGCAAGTAAGCTAGCGTACAGGGTTTCTGATCACCCAGGGTTCCTGATCACTTGCCAAAACTCAACACGTCGCTCATTGCTCGTGATTTCTCAGCACCCAGCGACCCAAAATGGATACCCG